TTTTTTTTGCTGCCATATTTTCGAGAAATATGGCTCTATTTGTGGCTCCACCATGGCTCCAGCGTGGATTTTTTACAAATACAAAATGCAAGATAAAACCGTGAATAGATTACGTAATCAATCGGACGACTTGAAAAATGTATAGCTGGGTTGGCAGCAGGGTTGGCAGCAAGGGATTACGTAATCGAGCTTGACAACTTGAAAAATGTATGGCTGGACGGCCGACCAGTGCTCATGCGACCGCCCTTCAGGGTGCTGGAGGCTTGGGCGTACTGTCGCTTCGGAATCCTGCGCCCGCAAGAGCCTGCCCGCAAGGCCTTAAGGCTAAGTGTGCTCCTCTCATCTATAAGCCAATGGAGCCGCAGAGGAAGCGCCAGATCGTCCTTTGAGCTCCAGCACCGACATACGCGGTAGCGCAAGAGCGCGCGCCGCTCATGAGTACGATAAGTTCTGCGAGCGCCGACTATGCTGCGAGGTATCGAGTGCGGGACGTAACTTGGGAAAGGCATGGCCGCTTATCGACGCCCCAGGCGGCTTCGACAGCATCCAGTCGAGCCACCGAGAGGTTGTTGTAGTGACACTACGGTGGCGACGACGTTGGCCACGGGGTGCATCGCGCGCTTAGTAGCGCCAGATACGCAAGGCGCTGACCCATCCGCTGGACTTGCTACAACGTTGTGAGTGTACCAGAGCGAGTAGTAGTAGCGCTAGCACGGCGGCGACGACGTTGGCGACGAGAAGGATCGCGACGCTCAGTAGCGCAAGATATGCGAGGCTCTGAACCACCCGCTGGACGTGCTACGTGTACCAGACGTGTACCAGAGCGCGCGCGCGGATTTCCCAGGGCGGCGTTGTGAGGAAGCCGACCTCGCGCCCTTCGACGGTGTCGTCGCTGAGCCACTCGCCGTGTTGTTTGCCAATGAAAAATAATAAAAACTCAAATTGCCGCAAACCCAAATCGACTTGCTTTAAATATGGAGAGACAACGTGGATTGGTCGGATTTGAAAATAGCGAAATTAATTACCCCGCGCGGGTGAAATTGAACTCGCCGAGCACCTTTGCATACTTTAATCAAGTGTAAAAAAACGTGGAAGCCATTTTGGCTTAATCGTGGACAGGCGTGGATCAGAGGGTGAAAAATCCACGTTTGTAGAGGCCTGGGAATCATACCGCTCGGCTCATGCTTCGTTCGATCCCTGGGTCCCGCCTGATTTCCCGTCCGGTTAAAACCGGATACGACCACCAAGGAAGAGGGACTGACAAGGGAATTGCAGGACCGGGTACCTTACCTTAATTGGGGGTACCCCGACAAACGACGCGTGGCGTTGCATGCGCTGAAAAGTTCGTGTACCGTCTAAGGGTGGTAGCCCACTGAATAAGTGAGGTAGTGCCACTATGGCGTAACCGTAATACAGCGGTTGCGCCACGTAGGTGTCCGCAGAAATGCTGGCACCACCCCCCCCACACCCCCCACCACACAACCATGATGTGAGGCGAAGCAGCCGGTCCGTACGCCAAGCCAATAGCAGCACTTTCGACATATCCGGTTAAACGAATTAATAGCACTCATCTATGACAACGGCTCATGCTTCGCATACGTAGCGCTACGCCTGAATGCGTGGGAGTTGGCTCCAGCACTTGGTCGTTGGGAGTGAGCTGCGTACGGAGAGATCCATCCCTAGTATTTGTTTTACTCAGTACTGTGCAATGCGTTGCTAATGTTGATGGACTTTGCGCAATCGATCTGACGATGACTGACCCACTATTGTCTGTATGTTTGCAGCTCCCGTATCTGGAGGTTTTCACCATTCTGTTGTCCAAACGGCCAATTTCACGATAAGTACTGTACTGGTACCTGTAGTAATTATAGGCTTCGTGTTAGCAGCACATGCCTGGCAAGCTTGCACCGAAGCTGATAGTTTGCATGTGTTTTCAAGCCAACTCCTCATGCAAATATGCTTCAGTACTTCAGCCATCGCACAGGAGACCTGTTACGTGAGATCGAGCTATACACCCCACGAGAATTACTACAGGTGTAGTAGCTCATGAACTCTGTGTTTTGCAAGCAAAACCGTAGGATTTCACACAATTTTTGTCGTTATGTATGCAAGTATGAATGCGTCTACTTGGTGAGCATCCAGCCGAGGGACGCGCGAAGACTTTCCGTGTACGCAACCTTGTCCTTGGCGTCCAAGAAGACGTCTTTGTTCAACGTGAGCGTCGCCGGCGCGGGAACAGCAACGTTCAAGTGGCCAGCGCCCACGAGTGCATCCCGCGCCTTGGCATAGTCCATCGTGGCGACAAAGACCTGGGCCGAGCTGGTGGCGTCCGGCGTCGCAAAGAGCACGGCAGGGCGAACAACGACAATTTCAACGCTCGAGTTGGCAAACTCGCAGACCTCCGAGACAATCACGACAGCCTCGGACGGCTGCAGCGCCCCAGGGGCCGGCGTCGTGCCGAGCGTGCCTGCGACCGAGCCGACGAATGTCTCAATGGCCTTCGTGATGACAGTCGAAGCCGCCGACTCCTTGAAGTACACGTGAATCTTATCAGCGACGACAAGACCAGCCTTCTTGCGCATCTTCTGAACGCGGTTCACAAACTCGCGAGCGACGCCCTGCGACTTGAGAAGGTCGTCCTCACGCACATCGATGACGACCATGAGCGCGCCATCAACCGAGACATCGGCCTCGTAGATCTTCTTGTCGCCCTTGAATTCGCGCTTGACAAAGAGGTCATCGCCCGAGAGCTCGACACCGTTGGTGAGCGTGATCCGCTGCGTGCGCTGGTACGAGAGGGCATCGTCGTGCGAGAGCGCCTCGACGATCTTCTTGACGGCACCGAGCTGCTTCCCGAGGCGCTTCCCGACCACCTTGTTGTTGACCTCAACCTTGAGACTGCACCACTCCTTCTCATCGGCGGCAAAGACGAGATCGCGCATGTTGAGCTCGTCGTGGATGTACGACTTGACCGACTCGAGCGAGGTGCGGACCGACGCGTCCGACGTGACAACGATCACGCTCTTGACTGGGTTCTTGAGCGAGATGGCGCGACGCTCGCGTACAACGCGACCCATCTCGATGACCTGCTGGAGCTTAGCCATGCGCGCCTCGGCTTCTGCGTTGAGGCGCTTCGGGTCAAAGTCCGGGATCATGAGGTAATGCACGCTCTTGGCAACACCGTCCGCGTCCTCGACGGGAGTCGTCGTCGTCTTGGCCATGTGCGCAACCGGGTGGTAGAGCTTGAGGAACTGGTACATGTACTCCGTGAAGAAGGGCGTGAAAGGCGCCATGAGCTTGCAGAGCGTGTAGAGCACGTCGAAGAGCGCGGAAAGCGCAATATGCGCGGCCTCATGGCCTTCCGCACCCTTGAGGCGGTTGCGGTTGAGGCGCACGTGCCACTTGGTGAGCTGGTCGACAAACTCGATGAGGCGCGGCACGACCGTGTACAGGCGGTACGCTGCCATCTCGGTCTTGACAAACTGCACGAGCGAATGCAGCGCCGCGACGATCCAAGCGTCCATCGTGTTACTCAAGACGACGCTGTCGTCCGCGAGCGACGTCGGCACGAATGTCTCGCCCGAGGCTTCCTCGAGGCGCGCCACTTGCTGCACGAAGAAACGAGCAGCGTTGTACCACGGAAGGAAGACATCACGGATGATGCCCATGACACCGGCCTCCTGGAAGCGAAGGGGTTCGGCACGCACCACCGGCGAGTTGATCAAGTAGAGACGAAGAGCGTCGGCGCCGTACTTCGACAAGATGTCGTTCGGGTCCGGGTAGTTGCGAAGGGACTTGGACATCTTACGGCCATCTTCCGCGAGAACGAGGCCGTTGACGATGAGGTTCTTGAACGGCGGCTGGTCAAATAGCGCCGTACCAATGACCATGAGCGTGTAGAACCAGCCACGCGTCTGGTCGAGGCCTTCGGCGATAAAGTCCGCCGGGAAGCCCTTCATGAACTTCTCCTTGTTCTCAAACGGGTAATGTTGCTGCGCGTACGGCATTGAGCCCGACTCGAACCAGCAGTCAAAGACCTCCGTGACACGGCGAAGAACGCCCTTGCCCATCGACGACGGGATCGTGATCTCGTCAATGAACTCGCGGTGGAGGTCCGTGATGTCTTGGACGCCCGACTTTTGCTTGAGCTCCTCGATGGAGCCGATGCAGACAACCTCCTCAAAGTCGTCCGAGACCCAGAGCGGAAGTGGTGTGCCCCAGAACCGGTTGCGCGACACGTTCCAGTCCTTGCCGTCCACGAGCCAGTTATGAAAGCGCTTCTCCTTCACAAAGGCCGGCACCCAGTACGTCTTTTGGTTGTTGGCGATGATCTTGTCCTTGATCTTCTCGACGTTGATGAACCAGCCCGGCACGGCACGGTAGATGAGTGGCGTGCCACTGCGGTAGCAGAACGGGTAGCTATGCACAAACGTCGACTTGGACACGAGACGGCCGCGGTCCTTGAGGTCCTTCAACAGCACGTCGTCCGCCTCTTTGACGTGGAGGCCCGCCACGAGCGGCACCTGGCTCGTAAACTTGCCGTTGTCATCGAGCGGGTCCGGAAGCGTGATCTTGTCGACGATGCCATTGGCCAGGCAGACGCGGTAATCCTCCTCACCGTAGGTCGGCGACTGATGGACGAGACCCGTGCCGTTGTCAGACGAGACGTAGCTGTCACCGATGACGTGGAAGGCGTTCGGCCACGATGCAAATGTGTCGAAGAGTGGCACGTACGCCAAGCCCACGAGCGCCGCACCCTTGAGGCTCTCAACCTTCTCGAACTCGGAGCCCGCGACATAGCCCTTCTTCTCGAGCTTCGGGTACACCTGCACAAGGCGCGATTCGGCAACGATGTAGAACTTGCCAGACTTGAGGTCCTTGACCTAAAACAGCAAAATCAATAGTACGATTGCTGAAGGGTTGGAATCAAGACGGCATACCTTGACGTAGTCGAGTTCCGGGTTGACGCAGACAGCCAAGTTGGACGGAAGCGTCCACGGCGTCGTCGTCCAGATAAGGAGATACGTGTTGGCGTCCGTGACAAGCGGAAAGTTGATGACGACGCTCGGGTCGGGCGTGTCACGATAGTCCGAGTTGGCCTCAAAGTTGGAGAGCGACGTGTTGCACGCCGTCGAGTACGGAAGGATCTTGAAGCCACGGTAGACCAGGTCCTTGTTGAACATGGTCTGGAAGACGTTCCAAACCGACTCCATGAACCACGGTTCCATCGTCTTGTAGTCGTTTTTGCAGTCGATCCAGCGACCGAGGCGAGTCACCGTCGACTCCCACTCCTTCGTGTAGCGCTGGACAATGCCGCGGCACTCGTTGTTGTACGCAGCGATGCCCATCGCGAGCACATCTTCCTTCGTGTGCACGTTGAGCTTCTTGTTGATCTCGTACTCGATCGGGAGGCCGTGGCAATCCCAGCCGAAGCGGCGCTCGACGTAGTGACCCGTCTGGTGCGCAAAGCGCGTCACAATGTCCTTGATCGTACCAGCCAAAATGTGGCCGTGGTGCGGCAACCCCGTCGCGAACGGCGGCCCATCGTAGAACGTGAACGGCTTGCGATCCTTCGAGAGTCGAAGCGACGTCATGAACGCGTCGAGCTCCTTCCAGAGCTCAAGCGTCGCAAGCTCTTGGTCCGGGAAGCTGAGGCGCTCGGGCAGGCGTACGTCCGCGTGGGGCGACGGCTTCGTCATTTTGATGCTCTTCAGACACCAATCCTGGAAATGAGAGCCACCGAAACGGCAGTCGAGCATCGTATCCGAATATCCGGATACGTTGGACTTGAAGCAACCAGGATTTCAGCCAATCGCACGCGCGAAAATAATCTTGTGATGGTGCGGGGGAGTTCATTTGATTGCCACCCTGGTTCTCGAAGCGCTTGGACACACAAGGACAATTCTCTTGACGACAACGCGCTCCCTACGCATGCTAGTATACTGAGTGATTGTGCTTGAATCTTGACACCTTCGCTTTGATCTGTGTCCAGTCGCTGGACCATTGGCCCTTGTCCAGTGCTTGCAGCCGAGCCCACTCGTGTTCAGGAGGGAGGATTCGGCAAGACAATGCATTTAGGTCCGAGACAGAAAAGTTACTTCGAGCCCACCCGCACGGGACCATGGGTCAATAACTTTATTATTGACCCATGACGGGACCTGGTTAATTGCGATGGGCCAGAAGACTGCTCTTAGCACTGCTTATGATTGTGTCGGCTTTGAGCTCTTTGCGATTCATCGATGAATCTTTATCCAGCAAGCAGAAATGCATGCAATGCCCGTCAAAGGTATTCAACATTATTAGGATTGCATCGAGAGACATTGTGGCTGTCAGCATTTTAGACAGCTTGTATAAGAAGGAAGTCGAACAGACAGCAGCACGACTCTGACTGTGGTGTTTCGTGTCCTGCCTTTTGATTGGACAGCATAAATTGGTGCAAAATCGCGTCACATTGCATTTGCCCGCTCCCATGCTGTCGCTGACGCAAATCGAGCAGTTCCTCGACACTGGCGTCCTTGTAGTCGACGACGTGCTGACGCCAAGCGAGGTCGCCAGTGCGCGCGCATCTCTTCACGATGAGCTGAAGAACTATGGCGTTGTACGTTGTCCAAGGACAAATCTGGCTTCACTGCTCATGACGGGCCTCGTAGGACCACAATGACCTTCCAGCAACAGCAGCGAACCTCAAGCTCCTTTCCAGCACAGGAGGGGCCGGTGGTATCCTCGACCTCTTTTATCCGTCATGGCGCCTCGCTGTGGCGGAGCATCCCCACGTCTTCAAGGCCATGTCCGAGCTCTGGGCTGCTACATACGCATCGGGCGAGCTGGACCTCTTCCGCCACCCCTTTGGCGAGTTCAACGCGACCGAGGGCTACATATACGTGAACCGCGTCTGCTACCGCGTGCCTGATGCAGTCTCAGCTGGCGCCGTCGATGGCGTGTCGAAGCGCAAGGGCAAGAAACAACTTCAACGGTCCTTGACGCCACATGTCGACTGCTGTCCGACCAACATGTATGCCACGGGGAAGGAGTTTCCGCGCTGGCGCCCCATCCAATGCATTACAGCACTTACCGACAACCTCGATGCGTCCACCGGTGGCTTTGAAGCCGTTCGCGGCTTTCACAAAGAGTTTGCTGGCTACTTCGCCTCAGCAGGCCATGCTTCTGCCGACGCGAGACCACCGGTCTGCCTTGGAGATTTCTCGCCGTTGCGCATGCAAGAAGACCGCGACGTCATTAGCCGCTACGAGCATATTCCATGCCGCGCCGGCAGTGTCATCTTCTTCGACTGGCGCATCCCGCACGCCAATAGCTACCGCCACGTCGGCTCGATTCCTCGAGAAGTCATTTACACCGGGTTTCTTCCCCGTGTTTCCATCAACGAAGCTTACGCCAAGGAGCAACTTCGCCGGTACGAAGCTCGCTTACTGCCCGCTGACCATTGGCAGAAAGGCAGCGCAGGTCCAGGAAAGGTCGACGAGCGCTTCTCCGAACACGATTTTTCGCTCCTCGGTCGTCGCTTGATGGCCATGGAACCTTGGTCAACGACCTACACCGCAGAGTAGCGATGATGAACTTGAGAATAGCATGAAATGCAAGTCTTTTTGCCTCGGTGCGTTGAGGAGCAATCGTCTCCCGTCCCATGTGATGCGCCCTGGATGGGTCTTTTTTTTATCATGTTTAACCCAAGGATGTAAACGCGTCAAACTACTCAACACACGAGCCTCCGTATCCGTATACACGGGGTACGGATATGGCCGGCATTTTCAACCTTTGCCTGCCCAGTGCCTGCCATGCGATCCCCATCTGTCCTCGTTGTGGGGTCCATCAATGCTGACATCTTTCTCGACGTTGCGCGACTTCCGATGCCGGGCGAGACGCTTAGTGCGACCGGGTCTCGGTGTCTCATTGGCGGCAAAGGCTCCAACCAAGCCGTCGCAGCCTCCCATGCCGGTGCCCCGACAACCTTTCTCGGCCAGTTCGGCGACGACTATGCCAGCCGCATGCAAGCACATTTGCACGATGCTGGTGTGACAGTCGATGCCTCGAGCACTGTGCACACGGACGTCGTCTCAGGCCAGGCCACGATCTTCCTCATGCCATCAGGTGAAAATGCCATCGTGATTGTGCCAGGAGCGAATGCTGCGTGGCCAACGGAGCTCTCCCTAAGCTCGAAGGCAAGCATCCGCAACGCGTCAGTTGTGCTCCTTCAATGCGAAATTCCCCACCGCGTCAACCGGCTCGTTGCCATGGAAGCCAAGGCTGCAGGAGCGATCGTTCTCTGGGACCTCGGAGGTGAAGAACGCGCTATTGACGCCGACTTTTTGCAGTACGTCGACTATGTGTGCCCCAACGAGACCGAGCTCCAACGCTCTATTGACGCTCCGGCGCCCCTACTGACGCAAGACGACGTCGTCCGTGCCGCCAAGAAGCTCCAAGACAAGTATTATCGCACAGCACTTCTCGTTTCACGCGGATCGAGCGGCGCAGTTCTTATCGCTGCAGATGGCTCCGTCACGCAGCAAGCCGCTTTCAAGGCAACTGTCGTCGACACAACCGGTGCTGGCGATTGCTTTCGTGGCGCATTCGCTGCCATGTTGGCGCAAGGTCATACGATCAAGGACTGCCTTGAATACGCTGCCGCCAGTAGTGCTCTCTGCGTTGGCCTCCTTGGCGCGACGATGCCATCCCGTGATGCGACCTTGCAGGCACTAGCGGCGGCTAGATCCAACCGCATGGCTGAGTCGTCCGGTTAAAACCGTTGCGCGTTCGGAATTTTATCCAATCAAACGTCGATTCTGAATTTTCTTTCGTGCGGGCGCTTCACTTCACAGAATCGCTTCCTGACGCCATGTCGAACGCGGCAAATCTCCCCCGTCGCATCGTCAAGGAAACGCAGCGACTCCTCGCGGAACCCGGTACGCATGATGGGAGATGGAATCTAGACCGAGTGGTTGACGTCTGTATGTACATCTTGCGTAGTACCGGGCATCAGCGCAACGCCGTACGAAGACAACCTCCGCTACTTCCAAGTCGTGATCGCCGGGCCTCAGTCGTCCCCGTACGAGAACGGCATCTTCAAGCTCGAGCTCTTTCTGCCTGCTGACTACCCCATGGCGCCACCCAAGGTCCGGTTCCTGACTCGTATTTACCACCCGAACATTGACAAGCTCGGGCGTATCTGCCTCGACATCCTCAAGGACAAGTGGTCGCCCGCGCTCCAGATCCGCACGGTGCTCCTGAGCATCCAGGCACTGCTTTCAGCTCCCAACCCCGACGACCCGCTTGCGAACGACGTTGCTGACCACTGGAAGACGGACGAGCCGGGTGCCTTGCGCACGGCCATGGAGTGGACGCGCCGGTTCGCTTAAACGATCTTTCCCGTCATCTGTCACGTTTCCACGCTTTCCAACCATCTCCGCTCTCTCTTTGCATAGTCTAGTCGGCTAAGCACAACTGAAGAAATGCTACATTACTTCGTGCGTAAACTCTTCTTGTCACTGGCGGCTTAGACCAATTGATAGTCCTGCGGCGAGTAGTACTCGGTCAGCAAGCGGTAAATATACGACGGCTGGTACGCGCCAGTGTTTGTGATGAAGATGGTCACATGCTCAGGCGGGACGTAGTCGTTCACCGGGTTCAAGACATCCATCTAGACACATCAGTGAGCTGCAGCCTGTAAAGGTGGATGGATGTTCGGACGTTGGGAAGCGTCTCGTCGTAGTTGAGAATGTGCGCCGGCGACACGAGCTCATTGAGAACGTCCAGATCGTGTGGGTACAGCGGGCAGAGCTACCAACGTTCGGTAAGTCCCGAGGAAAAACTCGGTCGATGTACCTTGAAGAGACCCGCAACAGACACGACGGGGACACAGAACTTTTTGGCCGCGAGCGCGATGTTTTGAATCCCAGACTGCGCGATGAGACCGCCGTTTGCAACGACAGCGATGGCAGGAATCACCACCTATTATTCAAATAAGAGATCGTTGAGAATGACTCCGTCCCTTACCTTGTTGACACGGGCCATCATGGCGAAGACGGCGCTGTCCGTGATGACGGTCGTGTCGATGCCGCTCTCTGCGAGTCGATGGGCCATGTTCTACGATGATAGATATATCAGTGCGTTCGTTGAATGCAAATTCATCGACACGGTACTTGGCCATTCAGGACCGGCGTCGATTCGACAACGATGACTTTGAACTGACGCTTCTTGGCAGCAGCCTTGAGGAACTCTTCCACAGACGTCGAGAGACCATACGTCAAGATGACCTCGCTAGTCACATGAGATATATGAGACGAGTTGCGAAGGCTATCGTGGTAAGCAGCGATGCGTACGTACTTCGCGTGAATGTACTCCATGGCCTGGTCCGCGATGCTGATGTGGAGGTTCTCGATCTCATCCATGAGCTCGCTCACACCTTCCATGATGGCTTGCTTAAGCTCCTTGATAGGCGTCGTGAAGTCGTCTTCCATGCCCGGCGTGAGAATCGTGCCGAGCGAAAGCTGCGCCTGCGTCTGCGACGACAGCGTCTTCATCCCGTTCAAGTACTCTTCGCGCACGATAAAGAGCACACGACGAATAACGTTGCCAATCGCGAGCTCTTGAGGGATGGCCTTGATGAGAACGCGACCAAGGATACGGATGTGCTCCATAAGCTGCCGGGCATGCGTGAAGCGGACGGCTCCAAGCACAGCACGAAGCAGCTCCGTGGTCTTGCGCGACGTCTCATACGAGCCCGTGATCTGGCGCCGCTTGAGGCCGACAAGGAGGAGGTTAAGCTGGTCCTGGATCTTGGGCCACGGCGCGAGCCATTGCTGGAGTGCGATCTCGTCTGTCATGCTTCTTGCCTTCCTTGTTGAAAAACCAATGGCTGCGCTGGCGATAATTATTTTATTTTGCATTGATTTGTATCAGAAATAAAATAAATCCCTCGGGCAACTTTCTTGTGGGAAGCTCCTCCTGGCGGGCAGCCGCATGGATGCGTAAATGGATGCCCATGACCCTGCCGCGCTGACAGTTGTCTCGTGTCATGGCGAGTATGCCCGCGAGAGCGCATGGCTGTCGGGGTACACATCCAGCGTCTTGCTTGAGCGTGCGTACTTGATCGCTCGTCTCGCTGCTCACTGCCCTTGGCCCAGAAATGACCAGCGCCGTCTCTGCTTTTAAGATTCCAAGGGCATCGTACGCAGATCGTGCCTTGCTGCCGTCGCGCGGCACAGCGCTTGCGCTCTCGTTGCTGCGGCGCAGCTTCAACAAATCGTGGGTGCGTTGTTGCCTGACGTCAGGTGCTGCGACACTGAGGAAGCGATGGTCGATCGGCCACGATGGTCACTGCTACGGGCGGTGGCCACCGGGCCGGGCGGTCGAGTGCTCTGCGCCTGCTGCCAAGATACATTCCGCTCGATCTGTGGTCGCGAGGCGGTCGTCCCGCGACAGAAATACATTGCCTCGTATGCGACATGTGTTTTATTAATATGCACCGCGCGCCCTGGAGAGCAGGGGGCAAGCGTGTATTAAAATACGGTAGTATAAAATGCGTCGTGCGCATTAAATTGCACGTAAGATTCACTCGTCGCATTTGGCATTTTCGAATCCGCGAGCCGATGAAGTTTGGGAAGCAGCTCGAGATCACGGCCAACGTCGAGTGGCGACAGTACTACGTGCAGTACAAGAAGCTCAAGCGGCTCATCAAGCGCGTCGCCTTTGAGATCGAGCGTGGAAAGCAGAAGCTGGAAAAGCTGGAGAAGAAGCGTGGCCAGTCGCCGCTTCCACGCCCGCCCAACGTGACTGCTGGCAGCGACGAGGACGCAACCAGCGGTGTCACACGCACTGCGAGTGGTAGAAAGAAGGCAACGGAGGCCTCGCCACTGCTCGAGCCATCGACGCTCTCAAGCTCGGACTTGAACCTCGAGGGTATCGCCGAGGCGAAAACCGAGTTCTGGACCATGACGAATGCCAACATCCAGATCGCCAACGACTTTTACCGCGCCAAGATCACCAACATTGCGAAGAACATCAAGGACTTTGAGTGCATGCTGCGCGACGAAGGCAAGACGGCGCACGGCCACGTCTCGACGCACAACCCTACGTTCTCGCACGAGGGCGGGTTTGCCGCGATTCAAGACGCGTACGACACGCTCATCGATCTCAAGGCTTTTGTGAACCTCAACCACACGGGCTTCCGCAAGATTGTCAAGAAGTTCGACAAGACAACGGGAGAAGATGCGCTTGGCGGCTTCATGAAGCAGCTGAACCGCGAGGACTTTTATGCGTCCAACGACGTCGACGGGCTTCTCGACCGCCTCTTTGGTATCACGTCCAAGTATGTAACACCTCTTTCTAGCAACGGGTATCACAACTGTGGTGCAGGGACAAGCTCGAGGCTGGTAACATGGAAGGTCGCATTCGCCGTCAGCAGGGCAATCAAGACTCGCTTTTCCGCAAAGTCAAGGTCGTGCCCTTTGCCATCTCGTGCACGCTCTTTCTCGTGCTTCTGATGGTCAACCTCCCGGGCGGTACTTTCGCACATTGCGATGATTTCGATGCTCATCCAGTGGCTATCTGTTAGAACAACCAGTGCAGCAACGCTGCTTGGCGATGCTTGTCTTCGTGACGTCGCTCTGGGTCACGGAAGCTGTCCCGTACTTCGCGACGTCGTTGCTTGTGCCCGTCCTTGTCGTTTTCCTTCGCATTCTCAACAACAAGACCAACCCCGACGTGCTTCTTGACGCCAGTATCTACTTCCTCGTGTCGCTGGATATGTTGTTTACATGCTGGTAGAAAGCGCGGCCAAAGAAGCAATGACGCTGCTCGTGAACCACACGACAATTCTCATCATGGGCGGGTGCGTGAAGCTGACGATATACTGTATTCATGCCAACTAGCTTTTCCATTTCAGCGGCGTTGTCCAAGTGCCAGATTGAGCTCTACTTGGCCGCCTTCCTCCAGCGCCGCTTCAAGAAACGCCCACGCCTCTTTCTCCTCGCGATCATGCTCATGGGTCTCTTCCTCTCCATGTGGATCAACAACCACACGGCGCCGGTTCTCTGCGTCTCGGTCTGCTATATTATCCCTCACTCGTTGTAGGTCTGACAGGGTAATCCGTAGGTGCTTTTGCCCATCATTCGCGACTTTCCGCACAACAGCTCATACGTCAAGACTCTGCTCATCGGCCTCGCCTTTGCGTGCAACCTCGGTGGCATGATGACGCCTATTGCTTCGCTTCAGGTATCTGATCTGGGCTACGTCGCTGCACACCATTAATGCACGTCCTAGAACACTCTTGCGCAGTCGTACCTCGAGAAGGCCGGATACGTCGTATCTTTTGGCCAGTGGATGATGATTTCGGTCCCCTTTTGCACTTTCGCGACAATTCTCGTCTGTCTTTTCCCTCGGATTCCTTTGGATTCTCAGCGTCCATATAGTGCTGGCTTTTCCTGCTTTGGGTCTTCGATCCGGCCGACGTGACGTACATCCCGCAGATCGTGTACGACCAAAAGCAGCGTATCAACCGCGTCCACATCGCCGTTGTCGTTTTGACAATGCTCACCATCATCATGTGGGCGCTCTTCACGTTCATGGCCGATACCATCGGTGACATGGGCATTATATCGCTCATGCTTATGGTATGCTGGGACTCTCGCTGCTCTCCTAACCTTCTGGCATCTAGTTTACGCTCTTCGGCACTGGCATCTTGAGTCAATTTGACTTCAACTCGTTCTCGTGGCACATTCTGTTTCTCATTGCGGGTGGCAATGTTCTTGGCGAGGTGTGATTTCATCCTCGTCTACACACTGCCTAACTAGATGGATGCGATTAGGCGGTCCAGCGATCGGGGCTGCTCACAACACTTAGCCACTCGTTGATTCAAGCGCTCCCCAGCGGCAGCGTGTGGCTCACGACTGTCATGCTCTGCCTCCTTGTGCTGTGCCTCACAACGTTCATCTCGCACACGGTCGCGTCGCTCATTCTGTTGCCGATCATCGTCCAACTGAGCGTTGAGATTGGCCATCCGCACATCCCTGTGATTTGCTGCGCCCTTGCCATCTCCGCCGGTGCGTCGGCTATTTTGGAGCTGATCTTTTATCAATTGTATAGCGATGGGGCTTCCTTTTGCGTCGTTCCCCAACATCAATTCGCTGCTTGTCCTCGACGACCATGGTGAGCCCTACCTCAAGGTCCAGGACTTTCTTCGAGTCGGCCTCATCTTCTCGGTCTTCTCTGTCGTGCTTATCGTGACATTGGGCTACACGCTTATTGTCGCTGTGCTTGGCTACTCGCTCCCTCACACGGTGTCTTTGCTGGCTACGCCATAGCTCCACATAGATGATGCGGTGTCTGCAAAAGCTGCTGCATAATGAAGCGATGCGACCTCGCTGTTGAAATACAATCACGAGTGCTGGCAAGTACCAGCACTCGTGGCAAGTACCATCGTGCTTCAACACCATGATTGTCTCGTTGAATCTTTGCGGCGTGTCTTCTTTGTGCGCAAGGGGTCCATGGGCACGGGCCTCCAGTTTGCCGTCATCGCTTGACAAGGCACTTCGAGTGGGGTGAAGCTTAGTACACCCTGGATGCATCGTGAGCGCGGCAATGTTCTCCGTCGGTTAAGGGGCTTTCAGATTGAGCTCTGGCCTCAACAAGTGGCTCCAAAACGTGCACCGATGTCGCGTACCAGTACAGTACGAGACCGATCAACCGTGCTGGACGCAGGTGGAGCCAAGGCTGATGATATAGCACGTTCTTTGCGCCCGGTACAATGTTTAGCCGCGAGCCCTGCCGCGGGGCTCTGTGGACAGCCCTGCTCACTTCGTGAAGGATGAATGTCGTATTGTAGGGATAACATTATGTTGGTGATGTGAGCTCGAATAAATACGATCTACGGTGACGTTCGTCTTATACATGAACTCGGGCGCGACTGGCGACAACGACAACATCCGAGTAGTATCGATGACCGTGCGCGAGACCATACCAGAGCACTACCATGTTCATCGCGCCGCCAATGATACCCAGGACGTTTGCACGAATATTGAGGTCCTCGAGGTGATTGCCGGGCACCGCCAAGTAGATGAACGCGGCAGCATGCCCCGCAAGAAGAACAGCGTTGGTCAGTCGGTAAAGGAATAGGGCCCGGCGGCGGTGGCCATCAATGGGGCAACCGCTACCATAATATCCCGCGCCAGCAGCAAGAAGACCAATGGAACCGAGAAGCAAACTGAAGTTGAGCAGCAGCAGCGAGAGGAAGAAGTACGTCATCTGGACCAGCGCAGCTTGGCGGCATGGCCAACGTAGTGCTGATAACGGCGCTGGTACGGCAAAGGCGACAACGTCGATTCGCAGCGTGGGTTCCGGGAGCGCATGGTACGAGGCCGTCGGTGTCGCTGGCAGTGGCTCGGCGATGGCGATCGGCGTCGGACGCATCCCAATTTTGACTGCGTCCGTTGGCAGCTGACAAGTCGCAGTTGAAGCGCCTGTCCCGCGATAACCAAATTGGACATTTATAGGGGTACCCACCGAATTGCGACAATCGCACTGCATTCTACTATTGGTCCTTGGTTGCACCGGGGCCTACTAAAACGAATGTTGAAGTGCCGATAAATTTTGCACACGCCGCAGCTGGCATCGAAGTTCGAAAGAGTCCGAAGATCGCAGAACCGAAGTTGAACGAATGAGCGACGATGAGGACGAGTGGGAGGACGCGTTCCCAAGCCCCGGCGACGACGCTGCCGAAGACGAGTGGGAAGATGTCGACGTGCCCGAGGCTGCCGAGATAAATGGCCGTAGCGACAGCGAAGAGTCGGACAACGCTGAAGGCGAGGCCCCCGTTACCACTGCACCGATCGAGCTGCATGTCCAAGACTGGGCTGCCCTCAATGCGGCCGTCAACGCTGCTGCGAACGACGCGCCGCCGCTGTCAAAGCAGCCAAAAAAGGTGAAAGTCAAGCGCCTCACCAAGGACGAGAAGGCGCAGCTTCTTGTCCAAAAGAAGGCACACCTTGTGTGTCTAGTGGCGCGCGAGGCCCAGATCAACGCTCTCGCCAACCAGACGATTCTGCAGTCGCTTCTGCGGTCGCTCTTGCCGCTTGAGGTTGAGGATATCCTTGCTCAACATGCGACGAAATGCGAAAAGAAGGACCTCGTCTACGTGCTGCAACATTTGGTCAAGTGGTTTCGTGCATCCTTCGTGCGACTGCCGTACGTCGCGAATGCGTCCTGCTGCGTTGATGCGTCGTCGCTGCTCGCTGTCTTCTACGCGCGCGCGGGTGCTGAACACGAGCTCATTTGCTTGTTTACTGCGCTTTGCCGTGCTTGCCGCCTCCGCACGCGCTACGTTGTGTCGCTCGACACGCCAAACATCACACGTCGGGATGCGTCTTTTGATGCGTACTTCGGCATCAATAGCCTGCGCGAAACCTCAAGCTCGCGGGCATGGAATGAAGTTCAAGGTCCGACTCGAGCATGGGTGCACGTCGATGTCTCTCGCAATCTGTTCGACGCGCCACTCGAAGTTGAGAAGCTTCGTGGTCGCGGCGCGCTCCTTCCGCACGTCGTCGCGTTCGACGACCAAGGACACAGGATTGATGTCGCGCCAAGCTACGCGTCGCAGTGGAATCGGACGCTGGCGATGCGTGTGGACGGAGGTTGGTATGCGCGGCTCATTGGCGCGGGAGCGTCCGTGGACAACGCGCTGGACGTCGAGGTAAAAAAGATGCCCCTGCCGCAGTCGCTCCAAGCGTTCAAGAACCACCCGCAGTACGTCTTGGAAAAGCACCTCGGCGTCTTCCAGTGCCTTCACCCGCGAAAACCCGTCGGCCTCTTCAAGGGCGCGCCTGTCTTTGAACGCGACTCCGTCAACACGCTGCGCACCAAGCACCAGTGGCGGCGTCGTGGCCGCCAAGTGGTCGAGACGGAGACGCCGATCAAGCGCGTCGCCAAGAAGAAGTCGTCGGGCCCCCAAGTGTTTCCGCCACCACTCGACAACACAATGAGCCTCTTTGGGGAATGGCAGACACAGGAGTACGTCGCTCCACCCGTCATCGACGGTGTCGTACCCAAGAACGAGCACGGCAACATTGAGCTTTGGAGCGATCACTGTCTACCGAAGGGCAGTGTGCACCTACAACTGCCTCGCGTGGCCAAGGTTGCCAAGTCCCTGGGCGTTGACTTTGCGCCGGCCGTCGTCGGTTGGGAGGTCAAAGGCGGTCGTAATGTACCTGTCCTAAACGGTATTGTTGTTGCCGACGTAGTCGCTGCGATGGTCGAGGACGCCCACGCGACAATGCAACACGAGTCGATCGAGAAGGCCATCAAGCACAACCAAGCACTTATCGTCAAGCGCTGGGGCACATTTGCGCAAAAGCTCCTGCTGCGAAAGCGCCTACGGGACGAGTACGGTTCGGGACAGTAATGAAGAGGTTTGGTGCTGTCATTTTTTTACGAGCGTTGGGAGAAGCGACGTTCTCTACGTGAGTGGCGACCAAGTTCATCGCCCGAGTTCTTGGTGCACGAGTAGCGCGGAATAGACGCAGTAGGCGTGGAAACCGCTGAGCGCAAGCAAGGTTGTGAAGGAAAGAGAGCTAAAGTGCTGCGGGTAGTTGCTGTACCAGACCCACATGGCGAGCACAATGAAGCCTGTGAGGAGCAGGAGAACGTCGGATGCACGGAGGCCGAAGCCCACAACGTCCAGCGAGCTGCCCGAATCGGCGGGTACATCATCTATACAAGTTGCAGGAATTGTTAGCCAACATGCATCTTCGATGCCTTACGAAAAATACTACCGCGCAGAGAATCCGTGATGATGGCGTGGATAACGTCGTTCGGACTCAGTCGATATGTCACCATGGGCTTCTCCGGTAGCATCAATGCACCCTGTAGCACTGGAATTGAGATGCATCGGGTGTAATGTGGCTACCTTGAAAATGAGACGAATACGCTTGCCATCCTTGTGCTCGTCGGGAAATGCCTGACAATCTCACGTTTCATGCCGGAATCTACATCAGTTCACGCACCATTGCCACAAAAGCGTTCACAGTCTCGTCCGCGCGAAACTGATGGGCACCGATGCGCTCGCCGACGCGGACACGGATCGGCGTTAGGGCTGCGTCCTCGCCCTCGGGCTTTGGCACGTCTTGCGCGTTGGTGCACGTCGCAGTCGCCGCTTCGGCTTTTGTCGTAAGATCGGCCTCCACCGTTGTCTCGACCGTAGTCGAGCTTTCTTCGTGCGCAGATGGTACAACTGGCACCTTGATGGTGGGCTGTGTACTTGCCATGTCCTCGGCAGGCGCCAACGGTATGTCCATGTGCTCCGCAGTCGCAGTGGCTTCGGCTGGCAAAGTCGGCGTCAACCTTCTCTCCATCCTATCATCGCATCAGGACGCACCGTCCGTCGTGATGCCACGTACGAGAGCTCGTCGACGATCTCCCAGTCCTCGGTCGGCGCAAGATCCATGGCAAGAACGATTGCGAAATGGTCCCTCTTGGCGAAAAGAAAAACAGAAGAAGAGCTCGTTCAAGTATAAAGTTTCAGAGGTAGTGCGCCGCTGGATCGGCAAAACTCGATGTTTGTATGTGGAGATTCAGCGCCGGAAGAACAAATGCCCGCGGCTTCAACTGGGATCCGCGTCCTTAGCCAACTTTTAACGCTTGGACCACGCCCTGCTTCTCGCGTTGATGCCATGCAAACACCCAATTTAGTCTCTGATACCATTTCTGTGGAATCTCACCCGATATACCGGTAGCTGAAGCAGACGAAGTGGGCCGAGAAAGTCTTCCGGATGATATCAACGAGGTCGGACGGCGACAGTAAAGTGTGAGTAGGGCCAGCGTGACGTACTTCGCCTCAGATTCAACCAATGCCCCGATGCCAGGTCAAAGCTACTGCGCTGGGACGAGGGTTCGCGCCAGTAGAAACGAGCTGCCACCGCATTATGGTGCCGTGTGCGTAAGCTGACGTATATTGGTGAAAGCCCATACAATGTACTCGTAGCATCATTGGGTCCAGTACTGGTGCCAGCAATTTATGACGTGGCGCAATGATAAAGAAGGTGCAAAGCCGAAGGCACAGAACTTCGAAGTCTCGAAGTTCGTAGTGCGGAAGAGAGCTGGAGCGACCACCAAGGAAGGAAGACTGCCATGAGCTGCGAACACTACAAGCGCGGTAAGATGTCCCGCCCGGCCACTCCTCCGCAATGACTCTACGCTGAGCTGCCGTGGTATGCACTCTAACTAACGATGGTGGTCTTAGGCTGCCACCTTTTCGCCGAGTGCTGTAACCAGTGGTTCCCTTGCCGCGTGTGCCACAACGAGGCACAGGACGGGGTTTGAGCACAGCGTGCTTCAGGGTGCTCACTCACTCGCAACGACCTTAGCACGAGATGGATCGCCACGCTGTGACGCGCGTGCGTTGCCGCAAGTGCTTTACGGAGCAGCCGCCGCAGCAGACGTGCTCCAAGTGTTCCTTCGTGCTTGGCACATACTTTTGCAGCGGTACAAATCGACGACAAGGACGTTGTCGACATCTGTGATTGTAGTTTGCAACCTCTTTGACAACGAGGGCGACGAGAAACGTATCTTCCACTGCAGCGACTGCGGCATCTGCCGTGTTGGTGGGCGCGACAAGTTCTTTCACTGGTTTGTTCACCTTCGAGAGCGCAGCTCAGACTGTTTGTAGCATGACGTGCGGCGGCTGCTACGCCCAGGATCGCCGGGACAAGCACGTATGCATCAACCAAGCAATGCGCCAGGTACGGTTCACGCGCACAATACTGCAACTCAGGTTCTTTGCAGGAATGCTGCATTTGCTACGAGGTACGCTTGCAACGTTTCATGGTTGTTCGTGAACTTGAGCGCCTCTCAGAGCTTGTTCGAAGCGCGGGAATGCCCCTCTGTGCTTCCATGTGGCCACGTTCTTCACGGCGCCTGCTACGACGAGATGACCAAGTACCAGTACGGCCACGCCACTTTTTGTCCGCCAACACACATGTCTACGTAGCATTGCTTGTCCGCTCTGTCGCAAGTCGCTGCTCTCGGAGCGTGCCCAGCGGCGCCTGGAGCGACTTATGCGACGCGAAGCTGCCGAAGATGAGTCTGAGGCCGGCAACGAAGGTGGCGAGGACGACAGAAACAGCCAAGAGGGCCCTATCGTGGTTTTTTCCGACGACGATGACGGCAGTAGCGTCTCTGGCTCGAGTGACGTGGACGACTCGGACATGGCGGTTGACGATGACGATAGCGAAATGGACGACGGCGACGAGAGCGTCGACGACGTGATCGCCGACCACCAAGTAGGTGGCGCCTGATAGCCAAATTAGGAAAGAGCACTAGGGTTCATCCTGCATTCGAGTTTTGTTCGTGCATGGGCGGCGCGGTATTGTACGCAGCAGAATGTCTAGCATCGCGTACAAAGGAATGTGAGGTAGAATATACATGTATTTAGCTGTTTGAGCTACTGGACGGCGGCGGTGCGCATCGGCTCATGGTCGCGGTACGAGGACGATGCGAGATCTTGACTGGCGTTCGAGGGCGAGAAGGCGCTGAACGAAGCGTCTTGGAGGTTGTCGTTGCCGTCCATTTGGTCCAAGTTGGATGCATACGTGCTGGCGACCTCGAGGTCCGACTTGAGCTGCTCCATGCCCGTCGCGAGAAGCTCCCAGAGGTTGGGCGTGTTGGGGTTGGCGATCAACACGGCGTCCTCGGGTGGGAGGTCCATAAACTGAGACAAATCACGGGCGAGGCGGTGGCTACGTGCCGAGAGGACGTTGTTTTGCACTTGGATGTCAGTGAGTTGGCCGTTGAGGCTCGCGATTTCTTCGAGGAGGTCTTCGGTCTCAGACTCGAACTTGTTTTCGCGCAGATGCATCTGGTGCTGCAGCTCGCGGATGTGCTCCTCGAGGTGCTCGTTCGAGAGATTGGCCGACGCGTGCACGTCCGAAAGCATCTTTTGCGTCGCAGCGAGCTCGTGTTGCAACTGACGCTTCTCGGCGTCAAAGACACGCTGCGCAGCGTCCAGCTGTGCTTGAATTTCAGACGACAGCGTCGACTTCTCGTCCGACACAACGCGGAACTCATCGAGCATCTGCGTGTGCTTCGTCTTGAGCACTTGGAAGGCTTGCTTGCCCTGGTCGAGCATACCCAGCAGGCGTGCCTTTTCAGCTTCAAACGCCTCGGTCATCGCCGCCTCTGCTGCCGACTTTGTCGAATCGGCCGTCGAAAGCGCCGCTCGTAGTCGCTCGCATTCTTCGTGGGCCGCAAAAAGCTCGGTCTGGAGTGCCCGAATCTCGATGGCCGCCTTGCTTTGGGCAGCAGCGAGGTCGTTAGCCGCGCTCTGGTTGGCCTCCATTTCCATCGTCTGGAGACGCGACTGGAGCTCGTCAATCGTCAGGTCGCGAACCGAGAGCTGCGTGGTGTGATCAGCTTGCAAGGCTGCGACAGATGCTTCGTGACACGTCGCCAACGATGCGAGGTTCGCTTGAAGCTCGACATGCGCTTGATCTTTGGCAGATGCGTCGGTTTCTAGCGCGGCAATATGGGCTGCCGTAGCTGCCTTGTCGGCCTCGAGCGCTGCAACGGCGTCGGTGAGCGCGAGACCGTGGGCAGCCGAGGTCTGGAGATCGTCATACACGCGGTCATACTTGCGCTCCCACTCGAGCGCCGCCTCTTCGCACTCTTCGAGGAAAGCCTGTGTGTTGGCAATTTGCTCCTGGAGCGTAGTAACCTTCGCTTCATGCGCCGCGATTGTTGATGCCAGCTCATCGTTCAGAGCGGCCAGCGACGCCGCGTGCTCCTGCTCTTTGGCAATCGCGCTGTCACTTGCCTGCCTTGCCATAGCCTCGAGCGACGCTTCCATGCTGGCTTCCCGCGCGCGCCACTGGCCCTCGGCCTCCTTCATAGAGGCTATCGACTCGAGTAGCTGGGCGTTCTCCGTCTCGAGCTCGGCCGTCGCTGATACCGACACCGCAGACGCGAGCGCCTCGTCCAGTTGGGTGCGTAGCGCTTCCTTCTCTTGGACTAGCGCCGCGTGCAGCGCAAGCACCTCTTTGTCTTTTGCCAGCTGAATCGAGGCGATCGTGTCTTGAAGCGACGTGACCTGAGCAGCGTGTGCGTCGTCGCGGGCGCGAATCTCGGCAGCGTGCGCTGCAGCCATCTCGGCCTGAACATCGGTCCACTCGGTGGTCTGAGCTTCGAGACGTTGGCGCCACTCGTTTGCTTGCGCCTCGAGCGCTTGCATCTGGGCGCGGAGGCTGTCCGACTGATGGTCGAACGCCGTTTCAAGTTCGCTCACTGCAACCTCGAGTTGCGCAATGTGTTGGGCTTGGGCCAGCACAGTAGCTTGCTCCTTCTCGAGCGACGTCGTCCACACCGCATTGTTGGCGTCGACGGTCGTGCGCCAGCCCTCGAGCTCGTCCTCAAGCGCCTGGATGTGCTCTTGAGCGTGGTCCAGCGCGGGGTTTGGAGCGCCCAGCTCCTCTTCCAAGGCCACATTGTGCTCTGTAAGCTCCATGTTGAGCTCCATCATGCGCGAGAGCTCGTCCTGCGTGCCTTGAACTTGCTCCGTGAGTTTGCGGATCGCGTCCTCCTTCCAAGTCGACTCGAGCTGCTTCAAGGCAGCGTGGTCCATCTCCAATCGATGGATCTTGGAGTGGGCCTCCGCCAGCTTGGCCTTTTCGGTGTTGAGCTCGGTGGTCATGTGCTCGACATGCGCCTGCGCCTGCGCGAGGTACTCGCGGAGGGTGGCTTCCACTTGGGTAAGGGAAGCCAGCTGAGCCTCGAGCTGCGCAACTGTCGCGTGGAGCTGGGCCAACTCGTTAGCAGCCGTCGCCAGCTTGACCTGGTCTTCCTCTTGGACTCGGTCGTACTGGGCGATGAGAGAGGCCTTTTCTGCATCGGAGGCAGCTTCAAGAGCCGCGCGCTCTTCATCGCGGGCGGCAGCAGAAGCCTTGATGTCGCGGGTCAGTGTTGCAATTTCGGCCGCTTTCTGATCCAAGCTACGGCAGAGGCGTTGGATCTCACGGTCGGTTTCCTCCTTCGTGACGACAAGCTCGTCAAGCTCGGCAACACGAGCTGCATGGCTCTCATCAAGGTCGCTGACTTTAGCTTCGAGTTCCTTCACGACTGAGTCCTGTGCATGCACCCGGGCCTCCTTGGTCTCGACTTCCTTCTCGAGCGTGGCCTTGACGGTTGTCAGGGCAGTGTTCATGGCCGTAAGGTCCTCAATGCGACCTCGTAGCTCTGCGTCCGTGCTGTACTCAAGCTCGTACGCGAGCTTCTGGTTGACGGTCTCAAGCTTTCGGGCCTTCTCTTCCCACAGCTTGCGCGCATGCTCGGCCTCGCCGAGGCGCTCGAGCAAGGTCGTGAGCCGGCCCAAGAGCATCGTCATGGCGTCTGGCTCCTCGCCCGCGCTGTAGATCACCTTGGCGGCGCCGCCCGGATGCGTCGGGTCCATCATGTCATCGTCCGAGCCAAAGAGAGCGTTCCACATCGTCGCCCCTCGACGTCTTCTAGCGCACTGGCCACGTGCAATTTTATTTTATTCATCGGCCTTTTTCGAATAACACTATTGCGGATTGACTTGGCCAAGTGACGTGTCAGCACTTGTACACTATTTTACAACATCCTATCACAGGTACGAAGTGATCGACTTAAACAGAGCGCATGGAGCCGCCTATATTGCAGCAGTCGAATATGGCGTAACATCCCTATTTGTCCTCAAGCGAGGAGGGCCTCGCTGGGCATCTTTAATCCTGCCTCTGGTTATTGTGTGACGGCTGAGGAAGAGACGCGACAGTCTATTTCGTGGGAGTTGTAATTCGACTATATATAGTGTAAATTGCTGGTTACGCATATATTATCCGGATGCGTGGTAGAAACGGTTTGGCGCATTGCAGTTGGTTTCGCCCCGATGCCCGCTGCCAAAGTCCACGCGGTCGAGAGCGATAGCTTCCGTCAGGTAAAGCACCTTGTACTGTGGTCGATGAACTTTCGTGTAGCGGGTGCGGAGGATACGGGCGAGAGATTTGCTGTGGCAGACCACAGCCTTTCTCGGGTTCGCATCGAGGGCGCTCGTGCCACTCAACAACTCGGCCACGACGCAGTCTTTCGTGATCTTTGGCTTGTGCCGCATCCAGCCCATCCACCCGCACCACCCATGGATGAAGAAATGGGACATGATCTCCGTCGCCTTGCTCTTCTATACTGGTAAGCCGCGTGCGCGTTCAAGGTTGGATTAGACTTCGATAGCGATTGTGACGCCGTACGAGACGGCCTTTCCCGACTCTTCCTTCTCTGACGCCATGTTTGTGCTGAATCGGCTCGGTACGTCTCCTATAAGACCAAGTCTCATGGTGCGTACAGTTGACTTGTGCTTTCTGTTTGACATGCTTCTCCGCTTCTTCCTCATGGTACTCGAGAATGAGCATCAGACGTCGTCACGTGTATGGCTAGTACCGAGACGAGTGGTCCAATATCTGGATCGCACAGCCCACTCAGATTGTTCGGCACTACATCAAGGGCTGGTACGTCGCTGACGTTTTCGACAAGGTGTCAATATTGCACCCGTAGGTTCGCCGTCGACCTCGTCTCTGTGATACCGTTCGATTTGATCAACTTTTTTGTTGGGTCGTCAGCAGTGCAGCAACTGCGACTCATGCGTGTGCTGCGACTACTTCGCCTTATGAAGATCATCCGTGTCATCCAAGGTACACGACACCCTCGTCGTTTGCAGTACCACACTCCGGTAGGCACCGACATGTTTACACGCTGGGAGGCCAAAATGAGCATGAACTACGCAACGCTGGCGCTCACCAAATTCGCGTTCATCGCGCTCATGATCTCGCACTGGGTACGAGGATGTGCAAAACTCGATTCTATGCGCCCGCGTAGATTGCTTGCATCTTCCGCTTCATTGTCGACATCGAGTATTACGTCGACAGCTCTGGCAAGGTCTACAACTGGCTCACAATGCACAGCATGGGCTCGACGCCGCTCTCGGAGATGCCGCCATCGACGCAGTACATTTCCGCACTGTACTGGTCCGTCATGACACTGACAACCATCGGATACGGTGACCTCGTGCCTTCGACGCTCGCCGAGCGTGCACTCTCGATCGCCTGCATGCTTCTTGGGGCTGGCACGTACGCCTACGTTGTTGGCGGCGTCTGCCAAATCCTCAACTCGATGGACGCGTCAACAACCGAGTTTCACCAAACGCTCGACACACTCAACGAGTACGCGACGCAGAACCAGTTGCCCGCGGAGCTCACGTCACGCCTTCGTGAGTACTTTCACTCGTCCCGAGCGCTGCTGCGCGACAAGCAAAATCTCGACTTGCTCCTCACCATGTCGCCTGGCCTCCGCGGTGAAGTCTCGGTCTTCAACAACAAGTGGATTGCCGACATTTCTTTTTTCCACTGCAGCGACGTACTCGAACGTGCCCAGTTTGTCACAGCTGTACGTAGTGGTTTGTATTTTGCTCGTCATTTCATAGACCGTCATCTTAGCTGGCGCTTGTGCTTCGACCCGAGTGCTTTCCGCCCTCGGAGTTTGTGATTCGCGAAGGCGAGCTCAATACGAAAATGTATGCTACGCTTCAAGAGGTTCCATCGACAAGCTAAGGCGTTGTAGGTACCTCGTCCAGCGCGGCATTGCCACCAAAGACAAAGTGGTTTACGCTGGAGGCACCTACTTTGGCGAGGTATCTCCTTGCGTGCATCACCCATCGAATACAACACATAATACCTTGTAGGACATTATTCTCCACCTCCGCCAGCGCAAGATTGCAGTTCGCGCCTTTTCGTACCTCCACGTGCAAGTACTCTCCAAGTTTGACCTTGAAGATATCATGGCCACGGGCTTGTACCCGCAAGTGCACCGCAGCATTCGGCGCCAAGTCGTGAAAATTGCCTTTCGAAACCAGTTTGTGAACACAGCGTCGCGCTTCCACAAGGCGCGCTTGTCCGTACGTTGCCCACTGCCGCGGCTGTAGCATCACGAGCACATTAGATCGCGGACCTGCCGTCCACGGCTGCCGAAATGCTATCTTGCCGGCGACGCTCCTCCGTCTTTCAGCCGCAGGTCAACGAAGAAGAGACCGGTATCGGCGCGGTCGTCTCCTGTGTCTTACTCCATTTGCTAGTTGATCGCATTGTCGAGGGCGTGTCCTCCTCCGTTTCTGGCACCGTTGGGTTTCAAGACGACGAGCTCGCCGCCAGTCTCGTGTCGCGCTTGGACGAGGTTGTTTTGCGCCTCTCACGCCTCGAAAAGTACCTCCTGCCCAATGTCTCATTCGATCCGCCGCCCAGTCGTCGGCGAGAATCCATGGCGTCGCGCAGTAGCTCCCGCCGCGGCAGCGTCACCAGCGGCAGCCTCGGGCCCGTCGACAATAACGACCCTTGGCACTCGTCGATACAGCTGGTGCGTCGAACCAGCGGCCGTGACGTCCTCAAGCTCGACCTCGACAAGTCGGGTTCGAGCAAGAAGCACCGGCACCGCACGTCGGTTCTGTAACCAACCAATCCGACTTATTTAACACGCGTCGGCGAATGTTGTGGTATACCTAGTGTACGCTTATAGTGATGGAGGGTGGACTAAACTACTTGGACTTGTTCTTGAGCATGTGGCGAAGATCGACACCGAGGATTTCGGTCGCATGGAGCTGCATGAGCGCAACGGCTCGGCACGAGCACGCATCTTCGACCTCGGGGAGGAAGCGGCACGTGTCGATGGCCTTGTCAAAGTGTGCCATGGCTTCGTCGACGCAGCCTTGGGCAAAGTAGACCTGCGCGAGGTCCAGGTGGCCCGCAGAACTCTTTGGGTCCAGCCGCAGCGCTTCTTCAAAGTGGGCGATGGCGTGTGCGGCGTCGTTGGTCGCGACAAAGATGCGTCCGGCGTTAAGCAGATGCAGCGGGCACTCGGGGGACATTTCATAGGCCGCGCGAAGGTGCGCCATCGCGCTGCCATAGTCGCCGCGGTCCGAGAGCACGTCGCCGTAGAAGAGACGAACCTCGTGCGACGTTGGGAAGAGTTCCAGCGCCGTCTTGAAGACGTCGAGGCTCTGGTAGACGGACCCAGCCTTGTAGAGCGCCATGCCGTACGAGATGTGGGTCACATACATGGACTCGCAGCGCGCCATGGCCTTGCGCAGCGACGTGACCGCTGCGCCGTACTCGCACAGAATGAGCTCCATCTGGCCCATGTGCAAGTAAACGTCCGCTGAGTTGGAGTCGAGACGCGTGGCGTCGGCGAACGCCTCGGTGGCAGCATCAAAGTCCCCGACCTCGACGAGGAACCCGGCCTTCTTGATGACCGAGTTCAGGTGGTCCGGGTCCAGTTGCAACGCCACCTCGATGACGTGCAAGGCCGAGTTGACGTCGCCCGTGATGTACAAAAAGGATGCGTGGAGGTTGAGCGCAATGACATAGTGTTTGCGCACGGCGAGGTCGTCGACGACGTCGTTCTCTTCGAGTAGCGGGAGGAGGTAGGCGGCGAGGGCGGCAAAGTCGGCTTGGGCCTCTGCGTACCGACGGCAGCGCTTGTGGTGGATGGCTCGCACGAGGAGGAGCTCAAACTGCGTACTTGGGTCCAAGGTCGGGAGCTTCGAGACGGACACGGTACTCATGGGGTAGTCGGCGTCCCGGAAGAACGACTGAAAGTAGCTATCAACGAGCCACGTGGACGGAATGTCGTGGCGCATCTCCATCGCAGCCCAAATCTCCTTGGCCTTGGACCGACCGACGTGCTTGGAGACGCGCTCAATCGTGTCGGCTTGGTCAATTGCCCGCGACCCGCCGAGGATGAACGCGAGCACATGCATCTGCAGCGCATCGTCGTAGTCCTCGCGCTTCTCTGCGAGCGCACCGAGGGTCGCGTAGGCCTCCATGCAAAATGGCGCGACTGCGAGTGCCTCCTTGCTGTCCCGGATCGCACTCTCGAGGTTTCCGAGGCTCAGGTGCGTCTTGGCGCGCTTTGCGAGCGCGTCCGCAATGCTCGCGTGGTACAGCGGCACGCAATTCATTGCTGACGAGAAGAAGCGCAGCGCGTCGTCGTAGTCGCCGCGATTGTGCGCTCGCGTGCCTCGGCCAAGCGCCGCTTTAAAGTTGGCCTGCGCTGTCTGTGTCATGCGCGGGTCCACAAACACGTCGTCGTTTACGACGTGGTGCGTGCCGAATGTCGCCGCCGCCAGGTCCGTCACGAGCGCCTTCTGGTCGTCCGCCAAACACTCGACTAGCGCTTGGAGTTGGATCGCGTCGAGGTCCGACGCCACGGCCGATCGAACGCCTTCGTAGACAGCCTGGACCTTGGCCTTGACTTGGAGCGTGCTCTGCTTGGACGCAGTTATGGTCGAGCACGGCGTCTGCAATCGGAAGCCAAGGCCGTAGACGACCGTTGGGTACATGGTCATCTCCTCAAGCGGCGGAGGTGGGTGCGAAAAGTCGGGCAGCGGGGGCGGCGACAACGCCCATGGCACTTTGGCCGACAACGCCGCTGTAACATGCTCGACGATGCGGTGTGTCGTCGGCAACACGTCGGCGACGTCGAGTGCCGTGTGGAGCTCCACGATCGCGGGCGTCTCGCGCAATGTTGTGCCAAGCTGGTTGATTTTCGTCATCGCAGCGTTGCAATCCGTGTCGTTTTCGTCGTGGAGCCACGTCTGGGCGCTCATCGCCATGATGCTCTCGTCGACGTCAAAGTCGCCGTAGACCATGTCCGAGACGACCTCGATGATTTCCTGAAGAATGTGCCCGTGCTTCGTCTTGAGCTCGAGCATCGAGGTCTCGTTCAGGAGCGGGTTCGGGTTTGTACAGAGGACACCGAGCGGCGCGAGGACGAGCGACGTTGCACGGTAGATGGCGGCCGCCACATCCAGAAACTTGGCTTTCGGTAGCGGCAGCGGCATGGTAAAAAAGGCTTGGCGGTACTCGCGCGAGGCAAGCGCCACCTGGGGCGCGGCCTTGGGCGTCTTGGCTGACGCAGCAGCGTCGTAGGCCTTGCGCAGGGCTTCGTTGTCCGGAAGCGTGGTCGATTCGACGGTGCTCGAAAGGTCGTACGCGCCCCCTTCTTGCGGCGCCATGACGCCTTCGGTCGAGTAGATGCTGCTCGTCATCGTCGTTGGCAGCTTTTGCACAAGGGACGGCGTCAGCGAAAAGAGACAGAGGCGCACGGCTGGGTGCCCCGACAGTACAAGACCCATCGCGACGAGCGCCGCTTCGTGCAAAGAGAACCCGAGGACGTTGATCGGCTTCGTGTAGTCGACTTCGTCGAACACATCGACCTTCAATAGCTCGCCCGGAAGGAGCCAGCGACAGCCTCGGTTGGCTTCGACGGGCGTCAAGAGATCGCTTGGCGCAACGAGGATCGCATCTGTGAGGTATCCCGCGAGTGCGTCACTCGACGAGGTTACACCATGAACTACGTCTCGCGACGCGACGAAGAGCGTTGGGATGCCCTGGACCACATCCGCTAGCAAGTCGTCTTCAAACGTGTTGAGCGGCTTGGCTGGCGACGTCTCGGCTACCGTGAGCATCTCCATATCGGATTCTGGTTTCTCGACGTCCAGGCGGCGCGTGAGGGCAATGCCAAGGGCGACTGTGGCCACGGACGCATGGGCTCGCCACCAGCAGTGCGCGGCCCGCAGCAGGTCGTCTTCGATGCTGGTCCACGCTTCGTCGCTGCGGCGGCTGCCGGCCTTGTCCTGCACGTGCAAGTAGAACGGACCTTCCTCGTGGAGGATGCCATGCGTCACAAGGAAGGCCGCCGGGTTCCGCGCGGCCGCGTCGGTCGGGATCGGGACCAACGTCATTTTGACTATTGGCCAGGCTCAGGGATGTCTTGGGATTTGTATCAAAGCCACGCACCGGCGCCAATTGGCCACTTTCAACCAATGAAAGGTGTTATAGAACAGACACCATCTCCCTTTTTGACCAATCCCAATTCGGTATGACGATTTGGGTTTGACACGCGACGAGAACATTCGGCGCGTGGCGATCTTGGGATCTTTCTTTTGGCAAACTTTTATCCAATGTGCAGTCCATCCTTACGACGACCGTTCGCGGCGCGTCGCTTGTCGCGTTGCGGGTCTCGAGGTCCCGAGGATCTGCGCTGGCCGCGCGACATAGCTAATCTGGCGCTCGAGGTTGCGGAGGTCATGGCGGTACGACGGCGGGATGTCAATACTTGCGGGGCGCTTGAACTTGATCGCGAGCTGCTTTTGGTACTTGGCAAAAATGTACTCGCGCAGAGGCAGCGGCTGCGTTACGCGCGGAATTGCCCAATCGGGAAACGCCTTGTCGAACTCGCGGTACCGGTGCCGGGTGCCGTCCCGAAACACAATGTCGGCGTCCTTTTCCACACTTGTGGGGCAGCTGTCGACGACGAGGTAGTGCAGCGGCTCGTACTCGTACGTACCGACGAGACCTTGGGGCTGGTGATGCGTGTCGTGGCTTCGGTCCTCGCTCGATACGTGGCCGAGCGCCTTCGTGCACGGGCACTTGCACATCGGACACGGCTTCCCGCAGCGCGGCATGACGCCGTTGGCACTGCCAAACGACTCATCCTGGATGTGCTGCCGGACTGACGTCGCAATCGAAGCGCTGACTTGGTTCGACGGACGGAGGAGGCGCTTGCACGTCATCAGAGTCTGCAAAAGTCGGCGGGGCACGATCGCATCGGCCGAGTCGAATAGGTGCGGTTCCTGGTCGTTGCAGTTGAAGACATCGCTGCAGGGTCGTGGAAGGCTCTCGATAAGGCAGCTTGTACCGCGGCGCTTGAGATTGCTCATGAGAGCAGCGCGCAACTCGGCGAGGAACGCAGCGCCACGTTGGCTCTTGGCCTCAGCAGCGACACCCGCGGCCTGCTCGAGAGCAGATTGGACGCGGGCGACCAAGTTGTTAGAGACTTGAACAAAGCACTGCTGGACTGCCACGGCGATAAGTCTCGTCATGACCTCCGTCGTGTGCGTCACCGGGTTGTCGATTCGGTCGAGAATGAGCTTTACGTCGCGGCGTCGGATAGCTTGGAGTAGAGCTAAGTCGAGCTCGGCTTGCATTGCTTCCGCGTCGAGAACCCAAGGCGCGCTCTGGAGCGAGACCGACACGTGGCTCACGAGCTCTTCCTCAAACGCCTTCGGTAGCTGGTCTTTGAGCCACGTCTGGAGCGTGCGCGCGAGCAGATCTGCGGCCTGAAAACCGTTGCAAACGTCTTGAGCAAACTGCCGCATCGTCCCCTCGCAAGCTGCAACGCACGCCACGATGCTGTTCGTTTCGTCCCATTTGGCTTGGATCTCAGCGAGCTCCAAGCCGAGCGTCGAGATGAGGCTGCTGAGGCCAACGGCCTTGTCAGCTGGCGCCATGTGGCTCAGTTGCTCCTGGAGGTCGCGAGCCACTTCTGTGACAACGCCGGGCGAGTATTGGTCGACATTGGCGAGGCGACTTCGCACCTGATCGGCAATACTGTCCGCAACCTGGTCTGCCGCCGACACGTTGGGGGCGCGAGAAAAACAATCTGCAAGTGACGCCCCGTCCCGCAGCACGAGTCCAGAGGTTTCAACCATGTTGAGCTCGTCGATCGTAAAGATGTTGCTTGTGTGCAGCGTCTCTATCGTAAGCCGACGGACTTTTCCGGCAAGTGGCGCATCCTTGGCGCGCACGTCTGCCAAAACCCCGCGAAAGAGCTCGTCAAAGTCGCGCATAGATCGTTGCGGGTCGTCTCGGAGCGCCAAAATCTGCTTGAGCAATGTATCCTTGTAGCGCTGGACGTGCGTTTCGTGCAGGAAGAGATGATCAAACTTGGCGCGGACGAGGCGGCGCGCGTGCTTCAGATGGGCGCTCTTGGTGTGGCCCCAGTCACGACCCATATCAGACCACTTGGCGTACTTGGGCAGCGACAGTGCTGCTGTGAACGATTCGCTTTCCCGGAGCACATCAGCTTTGACTTGGTCCTCCATGAACTTCTGGAACGTGCTGCACTCGGGCGCGAGGTGCTCCAAGTTGCCAGTGCAGTACGTGACCATCAACTGGAGCGTCTTGTCAACCGCCGTCGCATACGCTGCGGCCAGTTTGCACGTGTGGTCGTTCATGGACTTGACGAGCGTGTCGTAGACAAGGCGCTCGTGGACCGACTTAAAGTCCAACTCGAAGTTGGCACTGCCAATGCAGTGCCAGACGAGATCCAGGTCGTCCATGATCTCGGCCACCGTGCGGACCTCCCGTTTTCCGTCGGTCGCTTGCGCTTGAATATAGTCGCGAAAGCGCAATACGCGTTTGCTGAAGTCGTTGGGCTTGAGCGGCGAGCTCAGCGCATCCGCCGTGCCGAAAAAGCGCACGTCGCTCTGCGTCTCATCATCCTTGTCGACCTTGAAGTTGCGAAGGAGTCCCGTCTCGGCAGCCAGCGGGGTACCTCGGAGCTCCTGAATGTCTGCAGCTCTCTCTTGAAGGCTCTTGAGGAGCTCCGAGATGCTTGTCGTCATCTTCTTCGTGTCGGAAACGTCAATCTGGCTAAAAGCAAAGTAGATCTTCGTCGCGACGTGGCCCGTGTGCGCTTCCACAAGTCCCGAGTTGACAAAGACAGAGTGCACAATCGAGAGAACGTCGTTGGTCGTGGTGGTCGACTCGCCTTTCGTCAGCACAATGGCCGCGTCCGCCGGCAAGACCGACAGAGTCGCCATGCGGTTGTCGCGCCATACACCGTCGGGCATGCGGAGGCGCTCGGGCGACCGGAGGCCTTCCGTGTCGAGCAGCAGCACGTACTCATACGACGCGCAGCCTTCGCACGCGAGCAGCTGGAGGTTGATGCCGGTCGTGCATTGCGCGACGTCCGTGCGCAGGCGAACGCCAAACATGTAATTCAGTAGCGTCGACTTGCCCGACGACTGAATCCCCGAGACCGAAAGCACAAAGACACGGGCGCCACGCGGAAGCAGGTCGCTGAGCGCGCGCAGTACCGCCTTGATCCAAAACGTGTTGACGCTGGCCGCGTCGCCGTCCATGAGCTCCAGCGGAAAACCATCCACCAAATGCTGCGCTGCCAGTGACGGCAGCTCCACAAACGTACTTGGGTGGATTGCAAAAAGGTGCGAGAGCTCGCGCCAAAGATGCTCGACTCGGGTCAATGCTTTCGCAGCGCCACCCTCGCAGCTTTTCGAGAGTCGGTGTTCGAGGTCCAAGAAAAGTATCTCTCGCTGCGCTACAGTTGGCTGCAGTAGCACATTGACGAAATACTGGGCGAGTGCATGCGTCGCAACGGGGGCGACGAGGTCGACATACTGTAGCTGCAGCTTGTCGATCTCGCACTGGAGCAGCTGGTGGTCTGGCGCCAGTGTCTGACGCTGCAGGCGGAGCTGGAGCGTCGACTCTTCTGCAAAGAGCGTCTGAAGCTTCAGAGTTGACGAGCGCAACGTCGACAAGTCTGTCGCTGCAAACACTTCGTCCGCGACAGTCGTGCGCATGCTCAAGACGACGTCTTCGGGGCCAAATGGCAGCTGGGCGACGGGAACCCGCACCATAGCGTTTGATACTGCTGATCCGGTGCGGCAGATGTGGTCGGCGATTTTCTGGTGGAACAAGTGGAGCGGACAGCGGAGGAGCACTGGGTTATCGCCAGCATTCGATTCATAGTCCTCTTCATCGTCGCCGCGTACATCTTGCCAGCAAAACGTGCGCGGGTGCGATGTCAGAGGGCTAACCGCCCCGTCGACGACGACGACGTCGGCAAACGACTCGACGAACCGACAAAGCTGAGTGCTGCAGACGCCGACAATGTGGAGGACCATGACCGTGGTGCAGAGAGAGGAGTTGGATTCGACAAAGCCCCAGCCGAGCTCCGCAACCGTTGCATGCTCTGTAAAGCTGTTGCCAAGGCTGCGATCGAGGCAGTGTGCCGAGTTGACGTGGAACACGTTTTTGATCCAGTTGTGCGTTACGCTGCAGCGCATCGGCCGATTCGAGATGACGGCGACGCGGGTCGCTGTCGTATTCTTGGCAACGCACTGGACTCCGGCAGTCGTCTCGGTCTCAACGAGCTCCAGGACGCTCACCAGGCGCCGAAACGCACGTGCCGTCGACAAAATGCACGGCACAAGATACTGCTGGTCGAGAAGAGCGCGAAAGACCTCGACACGAGCGCCTGGTGTCAGCGACGCAGTGAACGACTCGAGAGCGTTCAAAACTACAGTGCTCTGGGAAAACTGCTTGACGGACTTGCCTTGGCGCGTTGTGCGTGCGGCGCCTTTCGTCGTGTTGCCCGCGTAGATCTCCTCTTTAAAGCTGAGACGGTGCTTCAGGACAAACCACACGAGCGCTGGAAGATCCTCGCTCGGCTTTGGCGCGACAGTCAAGAGGTCTCGCAGGGGGCGGCCGGGGTGTCACTCAACGGCAATAGGCTGCGGATCTTGAACGCTTGTACCGGTTCGTCGTCGTCCGAGTCCGTTGCGTAGGGATCCTCGACGTACGCCTCGTGCATCGCGCCGACCATAGCGTCCACATGGTCCTTCTGGAGCTCGTAGGCAAAGCCGCCTTCCAACGACCAGCCGTACTTGGTTGCGACTTTCCAATAGGCGTCGCAGCCGCTCGCGGCAAAGAGTGTGTGGCAGAGTGCCATCACGCGGGTCGTGTCGGGGGTCGGCGCCACAAATAAGGTCGATGCGATCGCTTCGAGAGCGTAGGGCACGTCGACGGTCGCCATGGCCGGAGGCTGCCACGCGAGGGCGTCGGTGTGCTGAATGTCGGCGACGATGGCTGCCAGAAGCACCGACCGCGACAGTGCGGTATCCACGTCCCCCGCGAGGCGCACTGGCGGCGCTGCCTTTGCCAAGAATGCCTTGAGAATCTGATCGTAGAGCGTATCCAGCGGTTGCAGCGGTTTGCCGGAGGTCACGAGGTCGGAAAGCCGCTTTTGAACGGCCGGTCGGCGCATGCAGTGGGCCGTAGTATCGAGGTCGAAGACCGTGTCGTATTCCAAAAGCGAAGCAACGAGGCGCGCCATTTCACCAGCGCTATCGACAGCCTCGGCGTCGTCGGCGATCACGCTGGCGGCGTCTTTAGCGGTTGCAAAGCTGGTCATCGTCGGCGCCCGTGCGTACGCGCGGTGAGCAGTGTACCACGCATCGATGCGGGCGCGCAAGAGAGCCGCCGACACCACCGGGCTTGGATAGGTCGACGCGAGCTTGATCCAGGCGTCGCGCACGAGGCTCACCGCGTCGTGCGTGCCGTCATGCGCGGCCACGAGGTCCCACACGGCGACGGGCGACGAGACTGGGCGGTCGACCATCGTCCACAGGTCGTTGTTGGCTGCCAAGAGCGCGCAATAGAGGACAAAACTCGCGGCGGGGACGCCAGTCGTTTCGAAGCTCGTCGTGATCTCGCATGGCTGCTCTCGACCATTCGAGCCCAGTGTACCGGCGTACACATCGACGCCGAAACCATAAGCCATGGTACTGTACGGCACCGAGAGACACTTTGTGGCCGCGGTATCGCAAGCGGCTCGCAAGACACTGATCGGCGTTGCCTGCGCCACCGACACCTCGACGACGTGAAACAAGACGCCGCCAAAGTGGACATCACCGCACAAGACGTGCGATCCAAAGTCGTTGAGAAAGGCGATTGCCGACGCGTCGTCCGTAACGCTTGACGCCGCGTGCAGCGCTCGTTGCGAGAGACGCAGCGACGCTGGTCGAAAACGCAGCGACTTGATCGGAGTGCTTTTGTACGTGACGAGCACACTCGTTGTCGCCATTGCATCAACGGCGCCTGACGCGCAGTGCAGATGCGCAGCGTACGTCAGACCGCAAGCAGCCGCAGTGCTTGTTGGGACCTCGTGGCAGTCGCCCATTGGGCCAAGCTCTGGCCGTCCGCTGATTGGACGCCAGACTGGCCAATAGGCGCTGCTCCAATGTATTGGTCCAGCAGTAGCTTGTAAAAGCTCATCGAATTCAGACTTTGTTTTGCCTTTGAAGAGTGGTGCATCCTCCTCAAGCGCAGAAGCTCGTGTCGGTGGTCTTCCAACCCCGACGGCACAACAGTGCTCACAAAACCTGACGCGGCGTCGAAGCTGGCAAAGTACAACTTCGACACCCCCTCGTCGTGCGCGGCCGGGGCTGGGAGCTGCATCCACTCTCCGCAAGAAGACTCAAGAACATGCTCGGGCACGCGCACCGAGAGGCCAAGTGCGACCCCGCGAAGTGCCGCACCCTCGCCTGCCCGGAGGACGAGCTGGCAGCCTGAGAGATGCCGACGGATAACCTTCGTAGAGTCGTACGTGCCTCGGAGAAAGCCTTCGAGAACGCGAAGATGGTCGAGTAGAGCCGCGATGTCCGTGAGTTTGGCCGCGTCGATCTGCCAGTGCACCAAGCCCAGTTGGTCCGTTGCCTTGTTGAGCAGAGCTACTCGGCGCTCATGAGGCTTGCCGTTGCGTACGGCCAACTGCAGTTGCTTGGACTCCTTCAGCGCGTTCTTCGATGCTGTCGTCAGGAGGTCTGAGAGCGTCCTGTCAAATCTCAAAATGAACTTCGCTTGAAATTGAATTGTTCGAGCTGGCGATTTGTATTCAACTGGCGAATGTCGAAATCAAATTCTTGCCCCACGACGCAACGGGTTTACCTTGCAACCAACCAAAGGAGTGTTGTCGTAAACTTGCGAGCAAGAGTTAATGGATGGCTTCCACGGAGATCAGCGCCATAAGAGCGACTATACCGGCGTTGAGCATCAACGTCACTGCACTACTCGCGGTGGTTTTGCTTCCTTCCTTGGTCCCTGGACTCACGGACGATGGTGTTGACGTCGCATTGCCCACTGACATCGTCGAGTGCGGCGTCACGGGCACGACGAGTGGCTTCCCAACAGGTGTCGGGTTCGTCAGTGTCTTCTTGAGAAATTCAGCCTTGTCCATTTGTGCCCACGGCGCGGGCTGGGACGCCATGCCGCCCGGCGAGTCCGTCGCAGCTTGGCCCCAGACCCAAGAGAGCTTTTCTGCCGTCGCAGTGAGGTAGCCATAACCGTAGTTGTTGATGTTCGTCACGACGCTGAAGACGCTCGTGTCGAGCTCCACCTTGGCCGTCGGGCGAATAAACTCGTTGTTGCCGGCGGCGCCCGAGATGATCCAGGGCGGAAAGCTGTACCTGCCAATCTTGCTCGGCTTGATGTTGTAGTACGCGTGCTCGTGGCCTGTGAGCATGAGGTCGACGGCGTACTTGTCGAAGAGCGGCACAAGGTCCATAGCAAACTTGTTCGTGCCCGTCGAAGCCGATGTTGGAATGTGGTTGGGCGGGCGGTGACCGCAAACGACGACGAACGGCGTCACCTCGCGCTTGACGCGGCTGAGGTCGTACTCGAGCCAGTTCTTCTGGTCCGTCTGCATCTGGACTCGCGCTAAGTCGTTCGCAACCCACTTGGAGCCGTCTTGGGTTGGCGCCATGAAGGCTTCGTCGCCGTAGACCTCCGTGTTGAGAAACACAAAGTGGACGTACCCCGCGTTGAAGCTGTAAAACGTGTTGGAGCCCGACCCGCAGGCTTCACCGGCACCGACGAGGAGCCCCTTGAATCGATTCACGTAGTTTTGCATCGCGCCCTGGGCTGCATACTGCATCTCGTGGTTGCCGATTGTCGTGTGCATCGGCACGGCCGACGTGAGCGGCTCGAGCTGCTGCATGTACGCAGCGCCGTTCGAGCCCACGAGCTCGTAGCCAAGGTCGCCAATGTTGAGGATTCCGTGGAACGCGTTGGCGCTGAGGCCGCTCTTGAGCGCTGGGAGCGTGATACCCGAGGCCTTCCCCAGTACCGTCGCGCCCATGTCGCCAAACACCGCCCACGTCATCGCGTTTGCGGGTGTCGCTGTGAACATCTTGACGGATGACCCGGTGGCAGCTAGATCGTAGTAGACCGTAGCACCCGCCTTAATACCGGAGAGACGCGCCGTCCAGCACGCGACGTTGAGATCGCTTGACTCGGCAACACTGCCGGCGGCGACACCCACTGCCTTCTGGGTCAAACTCGAACTGGCGCCGCCGTAGTAGATGGTAGAGGCCGTGGCGTCGGCGGCCGTGACCCAGTCCAGCATGTAGTCGCCAGAGCCATCGCCGACGAGACTGAGGTGAAACTCGTTGGACGTGAGCGCACTCGTGACGTACAGCAGCGCGAACGCAGCCAGACGCATGGCAACGACAATCGGACAATGGCTGCAACTCATAGGTGCGTCTGCGAAGCGATCTGATTGGATGATGGGAGCGTTGCTCACGCGTAGAGCTGGCGCCCATTGGTGGGAGCGTTTAACGCGTTTTGCAGGGGCGAATTCAACGATCGCAACTGAGATGCCTGCATTTTACGGTACTACCATACCATTACACTAAACTCTATTGGAAGCTGTGAGCTTACCCAACATCACAGCAACCTAAGTCAAGGGTCAATAAATAGCTGTTTATTGACCATTGCCTAAGTGCAACATCATACTAGCCATGATCTGGGCAAAACGATCCGTGCGAGACTATCGACGGCAGCAGATGTTGGAACGACTTTAACCCTGGCTTTAACCTAGTTGTACTTGTCCTCAAACGGCAGTCGATGCTGCGGATCTGGTAACCACGTCCGCTGAGCAAATTCCGAGCCAGGTTTCGACTTCGAGCACGTGGAGCTGACACAGCTTCCTGGCACATGTGGCGCCAAAACCAACACGATACCCGAGCCGCAAAAGCAAAGGTGTCATTTCCGCCTTAAGTTACGAGGCGCTCTGGTTGGGTTTGCCTGGCGCGAAGGGTACACACTACAACACTAAACATCGTCCTCTTGATAATACGTGGGTAGTACTCTAATCCAGGCGGTGGTGCACAAAGAGGTGGTTGTGCGCGCCGAGACTCATGCACTTGAGGAACGCCGTTTGGATCGCAGTGCAGAGCGTCGGGTCGTCCCGCACCATGTTGGTCATGCGCTCGCGGGTGATTTCGTAAATGACAGAGTTGGCCACGGCCTGGCACGTGTACGAGCGCGGCTGGTGCAGGTAGTAGTCGACTTCGCCGACGAGCGACCCATGGCTCACCTTGACAATGCGGTCCAGGGCGTGGTCCGGTCGGAAAATCTCAAGCTCACCAGAGACGACGACAAAGACGCTCTCGGCTTCGTCGCCCTCGGCAAACACAATCGATCGGCCATCGACGTCCCGGCGCTCAAAGTACAGCGAGACCTTCTCGAGCGAAATCGCCACGTCCCACGCATCCAGCGCGTCCTGGAAGACCGAGTGGATCGAAGGCGTTGGCGACGTGAGGCGGGCCATTTGGTGCGGCTTCTGGAACAAATTGTGCGACTGCGACTGCGAGATGGGCGTCGCGGGCGGTCGCTCGTTGAGGAGGACGTTCTCAAACACTTCGAGTCCGGCGTCGGCGGACGCGTAGATGTGAATGTCGCTGGTCGAGTCGTCGTCGTCGTCGAGGACCCCGTTCATCTGGAGCTGGCGCTCAATCTCGGGCGAGAGGCGGGCAAAGGCGAGCGCAATGTTGTGCCGAGCTAGCAGCGACTTCATCGCTGTAAAGCAGCTCCGCGACGCAGTAGCGTCGATGCCTGACACGTGGGAAAAGTCCAAAAGCAAAAAGCGCGTCGGCAACATCGTCATCTCGGCCTCTTCGTCGATCGCCGACTTGACGCCACTGCGCTCTTCAAACGCCTTAAGCGTGCACACTTTGAGCGGGTGCGACACGCTGCTTTGCGTCGCGGCTTCCATGAGCAGGAGCGGCGTCGCCTCGGTCGCCTTGGCGTGCGCCACGTAAATGCTCTTCTTGATGACCTCCATGAGGCGAATGCTCGAGCCAAAGAAGAAGTAGCCGTGGAGCTCGAGGGTCACAATCTGACCCTGGTGCGCGCGGAGAAACTGGCGCTCTTGGTAGCTGCGCTGGACACGGCTCCGGCTGAGCGTCTAGACCGTCGATGGTTAGTATCAAAGCGTGTTGCTGGTAGTCTACCTTGACGACGGAAACACCCTCTGCGTAGCTGAAGACAAAGTTGGTCATGGCGCAGATAAGACCCAGAATCATGCCTTGCTCCAGCCCAAAGAGGTTGATCAAGACAAACGTTGCGAGCACGAGGAGGTATTCACGGAAGCGGAGCTTGGACGACGCGTGCACCAGCCATTCCTACAGAATATATGTCAACGCGTTGGTTGACGCTATCGTGGATTTGTGTACCATCATGAGATCGATCGCAATCAAGGTGAGGAGGCCGCCAAAGAAGACTAGGCATTGAGTGAGCACTATTCAACACCGCAGGAATTGAGGTCGTACACTTGGGAATATAGGCCGTGAGCGGAATGGGCAGCACGAAGATTAGCAGCTCGGCGCTGAGCACAACGATGCCGGGAATGCGGCTGTTGGTGTTGCTCTTGAGCGTAAAGATCGTCTGCGAAAAGATGTACGACCCCGTGAAGCCGCCAAAGAGACCCGAGACCGTGTTGGACCAGCCAACAGTCTTGAGCTCGTGGTTGTAGTCGAGGTCCGTGCCCATGTTCATCTCAATCGCCGCCACGTCCAAGCTCGACGAGAACGCAACGACAAAGTACATGCCCAGCCACGTGAAAAACTGGGGCGGAATCGCGCGCCATTGGACGAGCGAAAAGTCAAAGAGGTCAAAGACTTCGAGCGGCGTGGCCGTGACAGCAGGCGGGTACGAGACCCAGCCGCCGGCGCGGACGTCGTCGAACGAGAGGCCCGTAACGGAGAGGAATGTGTAAAAGCCAAGCAGGACGGACGTGAGCGTGAGCGGCATCACGAGGAAGTGCTGCAGCTTGGACGAAAGAATGAAGAGGGCAGCGCCACAGAGCAATCCTGGAAGAATGTGGATCGCCGAGTCGTAGTTGAAGAGCTGTGGCCACTCCATGATGTTCTTGACCTCCTTGTTTGCCATGAGGCCGAGGCCGGCTTCCATGCAAAAGAAACCAATGTACGAGAGGTACCCTACAAAGACACGTGCGTTTAGACACCAAAGTTCAAGGTCGGACGAACCGCCAATCACGGGCATCGGCAAGTATTGGACCAAGCTCGCCAGTTTGTACTATAAATGTGCATTTCAAAATGCACTCTGGGAGGCAGTGGAGTACCTTGCCCGTCATGATGAGGGCGACACCCATGAGCGCCGTGGCCGAGCTAAGAGTCACAAGCGTCGTAGCGATGACGGCCTCGGGCGGCAGCGTCGGGTCGTCGGCCAAGATCGAGACGACAGAAGACGCCATTGCCGAAAGGAAGATTAGACCTAAATGCACTCGTTTTGTCCAATTTGCAAAGAGTATGGACGCGTACCGGCATCTTGAACTTGGCCAATCGCAAACGGAAGAGAACTCAGTGACGTAAACATAATCTGGTGCACGGCGCTCGAGAGACCCACGAGCTTGACGAGCGTGGGCATGAATGGCGAGAAGAAGGGATTGCTGAAGATGATGGCCGTGAAACTCTACACGCTTGTGAGCTCCCAGGTGCTGGAGTGGAATATTGACGCACCATGCACACGGGCACGACGAGCGCGGCGTTGATGAGGCCGTACATGAAGGCCTTGAACGTGTTTTGGTTGTCGGGCGCGGCGACAGCGACAACGACCATGTCGTCTTCCTCGACGTACGAGGCGTTGGGCAGCTGGACGGCCGAGACGCGAGACGCGCGCGTGAGGCGGCTAAGGCTCTTGGGCGTGTTGCACACGCTGCCCATGCTGTTGGTGGCCATGGTAGCAACTGCGCGCGGGACTCGCAAAGGCAAACTGAGCATCTATCCCAGCAAGCACCGAAGTTCGAAGGAGAGCGGCCGCTGGTCAGTGCGCCGATCTTTCGAGCTCTTGGGATTACCAATAAACTTCGATTTTATCTTCGGTATCCACTTATCCGGTGCTGTGATTGGGTGCTCGGAGAGGCCGCGCGTGTCTGGGTCCACCTTGGACTTCTCGAACGTCGCCCGCATGACAAGTCGCCCACGATTACAAGTGGCTCTGATCTGCGATAGGTCACGTCCGGGTATATCTGCCGACCGCCCCGAGTCTTTCTACCCATTGAATGCTGCAATTGGCTGGAGAGAAGAGGCTCCAGACGTCACGCCGGTCGCGAGTGAGGGCGCCTGTCACGTGAGCGATTACAAGTACGCCCGTCGCGTGCTTTTGTAGCACGTTGAAGTTGTGTGTCTTTCCGCCCGATCTTTCGTCGACGCCGTCGCGCCGAGTACTGTGTCGCCTCGTAGTACCATGTAGTAGAGTGTCGAGCGGACACCCATCGCGCCTCCAAGTGCGTCGTCGGTATAAAGAACACGCAACTGCAATCTGATGATGCATACCCTCATCACGGAAGCAGCAATGCGGCACCTGCGACCTGGCAGCGAAACTGCAAGCGCTTGCTGAGCCCGATCTTTTCACCGACGAAAGGATTGCGTCGTCAAATGGGTGCACAATAATGTCCAATAACGTTAGTGTTGGATCGTACGTTTAGCAGGACCTGGAGAACCTCTTCTTCCTGTCTTCCAAACGACAACGCCGGCATCATTCACGCAAGGCCGATTTGCGGGGCTGGACGATGCGAGGACCTTAATCCGCGTGCGTAGAAGGCCGCTCGTACTACAGCTGACCTAGGTGCTTTGCAAAAGACGGGTCCCGTACGATGGGACACGTTGGGATGGTCGATAAAACCGGTTCGTTTACAAGCAAAGATACGCATCGAGTGGTCACAAATCGATCCCGGTACAAAACCTACTGGTGTGCTCACAGTAGCGCAACTGGTTTTATATTCTACCGTTTTCTCAGTGCGGTGCTATCCAACGCACGTGCAGTGACTCTGTTCGGGACGGTGCTTGACACCAACCCCCGATGGAGCGCTTCGTTCAAGTCGCTGACGGCGTCCGCAGACCCACCCGTTCGTTGGCGAGCTATCACGCAGCTGCGCGTCGAGTAAGTTGCACCAAAATCAAGCTCGCGTTATGTGGGCTTAAACTCGAAGTGAGGATGATGATTCAGTTGTCTTCGCCGCCGTTTTCGAGAGTTACAAAGTGGTGATGTGCTGGCTGATGCGGTTTGGGGTCTCGGTTCTTCCCTGTACTTGTATTTTGGGCTCCCTAGTCTGCATCGAGTCGTCGCGTCGTTCTGGGTCTGACAACGGCCAGCAATTTCGGGAAATTTTAACGCTTTTAACCGCCAAACAAATGCGCAGTGGAAACACTCCGCGTTGCGTTTACAACCAGATGGACTATACTATATTGACCCTCTTCTGGTGTATCAACCTGGTATCAAGTTTTCGATTTGCCGACTCATATGCAGTTCTCACGCTTGTAGGCGCCTTTTGCTAGCAATTCGAAGGCGTGCTGTGACGCGTGCTCTAGACAGAAGGAGGTATTTTCACTGAAGTGTTCACTCGAGGTAGCGAAAGGCTCATATGGGAGTTGCTAAGCCGGCAGCCTAGTTTTGAAGCGTTTGTACCGATACCTTGCCTCATTTCGAGTCGACCTTTGTCTGATGAAGCCACTACATACGAGTACGAGTTGACAACGAACTGCACGTCATAGGCGGATCGAACGATGAAAGGCTCGGTCGAGGAGCTCGATACAGGATGCGCCATAGACTTCAGTGATGTAGCACCCCGAGCGTGGATGTGGCACACTTCGCCCGGACCACCCAGTGATGGCGCCGCCGAACATCATTTATCATTTGAATTATATTATTAAAAGGGCATTTCCAAAAAATGGCAAACGTCGAGAAGGACATATTGCGCGACGGCCCGCTTCGGTACCTCGGGTACGCCAACGAGCTCGGCGAGTCGTTCCGGCCCGTCTTCCCAGCTTTCGTCGCCCCTTCCTACGCCGTGGCCTTCGCCTATGTCGCAGCTGACACGTACGACAAGGCGACCAAGGCCGGGGCCAGCGCACCACCATCGGCCAAGTCGGCGCACATGGCCGCGGCCGCCGGCGACACGCTCCTGTGGCAGACCATGGTGGGCCACCTTACTTCATCAGACACGTGTAATATCGTGTTGTAGGCGAGCGTCGTGATTCCTGGCTTCACGATCAACCGCGTCGTACGTGGCCGCCGATGAAACTCAAGCCTCAAGCATCGTGGTAGGTTGCGCTCTCCAAGGCTGCGGTGACGTCGTCTGTGAAGAACCCAGCTCTCGTGCGCTGGCTCCCGACGTGCATCGGCCTTGGCGCAATCCCGCTGATCATTCACCCCATCGACGCGCTCGTCGACTTCAGTATGGACAACTCGACCCGCTTGTGGTCGACCAAGTACCTCGAGGGCAAGAACAACTAACTAAACCTAATTTTGCGTCGTACGACTACGCCGAGTAGCCGATTCCCCATATTTTGGATTCAGACACGAAATGATTCAACTCTTGTTCCAGGTACTTGATGATATGACTGCTTAGCGACGGGCCATGACGGCTTCGACATCGGCGACCGTGCGCGGGACCAAGTGCGACATGTTCTCGGCGCCCGTGGCCGTCACGATGACGTCCGATTCGATACGGACGCCGCCCGTCTTGCGGAAACGCGCGAGCATCTTCTGGTTGATGAACTTTGCCGTCTCGGGTGACGAGAGCACTTCTTCGATCTGGCCTTCGATAAAGTAGCAGCCCGGCTCGACCGTGATGACCATGTTCTCCTCGAGCTTGCGGCCGGCACGGAGCTTGCGGAGCATGCGCGTGTCGGTGCGGGTCGTGCCCGGGAGGTAGCCGCCAACGTCGTGCACCTACAAGACGCAAGCATTTAGCGGTGCTGCATTCTCGTACTCACGTACGTCCAGGCCCATGAGGTGGCCAAGGCCGTGCGGGTAAAAGTACGCGCTGATCTCAGCGGCCATGAGCTCGTCGACCGTGCCGTTCTGGAAGAGGCCGCCTTCGAGGAGGTGCTGCGTGAGCACGCGCTGCGAGAGCAAGTGCATCTCAGTCCACTCGACGCCCGGCTTCATGGCTGCGATGACCGCGTCATGCGCCTTCAAGACACCTATCGCCTTGGCCTCAGCGTTTTCACATAGTCGACAAGGTACCTTCGTAAATGAACTTTTGGTCGGCCGTAAACACGCCGTTGACCGGGAACGTGACGGTAATGTCCGACGCGTACCCGTGGTACTCGGCGCCCATGTCGTTGAGGAAGAGGTCGCCGTCGTCGAGGACCTTGTCGTTCGGCGCGCCAGCGTGGCCGTAGTGCAGCGCCGAGCCGTTGTGGCCGCTGCCGCAGATGCACGTGTACGCGTGGAAGCGCGCGCCGCCCTGCGCGTAGCACGCGTGGAGAAAGTTGGCTTCGGCGTGGAACTCGACCATGCCGGGCTCGATCGTCTCGAGCACCTTGATGTGCGCATTGGAGCTGAGGCGGTTCACCCAACGAAGGAGGTCGAGCTCCTTCGGCGACTTGGTCACGCGGCACTCGACGAGATGCGGGTGCAGCGTCTCGAGGTCCGTCGTGAAGGCGTCGATACCGTCAAACGTCGACGTCGTCGTCGTCGTCACGCCGCTGTCGAGGTTGACACCCTGCAGCAAATAGAGGTGCGCGACCTGGCGCGCCTTGAGCACGGAAACAATCTCGTCCGTGAAGTGCACGTGGTCGACGCCGTAGAACGACTGGAACCACGAGAGCGGCTTGCGGTCGCCGCACCAAAGCGCCCACTCGGCCGAGAGACGCGGCACAAAGAGGATCGACTCGTTCGTCGCGAGGTCGATCGCACCCGCGCAGTCGGGCTCCTTGACGCCAAAGAGGTACTGGAACATGCTCTCCTGCTTGAACGGAATGTCCGTGTCCGTGTCGTACTCGCCGATCTGGGTGCCGCCGTGGAGAAGAATGGCCGACTGCGGCGACGCAAGGGCGCGCATGCGCGCAGCGAGCTTCTCGCGGTGGTCGTGGTGCATGGTATAGTCGATCTCGTACGTCTCGTACTGATAGCTCGACTTCTTGCACGTGTGCAAGGTCGCGCGCGGGTCCAGCGTCACGCGCTGGCGCTGGCAGCTGTGGCGCTTCGACGCGAGGTACTGCTTCTGGAGAAGGTGGAGGCCACCGAGGGCGGCGACGGTCGCCGTCGCGATCGTGATGGGGCAGGCCTTGGTCATGCTCGGAATTTCGGAAATGGCACAAAAGAGCAAAATTGAACCGCAACTAGGTCTACCGTGTATTTGCATTTTTTAAGCTACGCTTACGTATTGGCATACAAATAACAACATCCAAATATGCAAATACATAGCTGACCTCCGAAGCTCGCTGATGACACATGAACCCTAACCCCATGCGACATCAGAGCCACGGTAGCTTGTGTCGTTTTTATTATTACCTAGATATATGTATGCTGCGTGCTGACTGAGAATAAAAACGCCTGTGCCGTGCTAAACCGATCTATCTTTGGCATGTGCCACATCCAATCGACTTTAATTCGGCATTGAGGCAAGTGTTCGAGTTCGGCACAGCGACTCTTCATGCTTACTACTGTAGAGTAGTTGGAACGTCTCGACACGCAGAAACAAAGCTAGGGCTTGAGCGCAGGGTCCTGCCACCACCACGTCTTGACCGTGCCGTCGTGCGAGCAGGACGCCATGAGCGCCTGACGCTCGTGCCACTAGACAACCTCCTGCTTAAAACACTCGACAGCGCTGCTCTACGTACCCGTGCGCTGTATGTGACGCCAGTGTGCCCGAGAAGGCGCTCCAGAAGCTTTCCCGTCGCAACGTCCCAGACGTACACAGCGCCATCTTCCGAGCCGCTATTGAAACATGAGTTGCCACGCGATGGAATAGCCAATGCTACCCCAAGACAAAGTCCTCTCGAGGCCCAAAGGACGCCCGCACTACGTTCTTGGCCGTGTTTTGGTGGCCCTTGAAGCGCTGCAGCGGCCGCTGCTCGTTGTTCGCGGTCGTCGGCGCCATAGAGGTGGATGGACGGTGCGTCGGCGTGTCTTTCGTGAGCGTTGTCCGCGGCATCGTGAGCATGCGCATGTCCCAGAGGCGGTTGCTGTTGTTGCGCGAACCCGTGAGGAGAAAGAGGCCGTTGGACGAGAGCGACACGGACGTCACTTCGCCGAGCGTTTGCCGCAGCGTGTGCACGCAGAGGCCGCTCAAGATATCCCAAAAGCGCACCTACGCACTCGTTGACGATCTCGCCGCACAGAAGCGCGACGCACCGTGCCGTCTTTGGAGCCGCTCACAATCAAGTTGGCGTGCCGGTTGAACTGCGCGTCGCACACCGAGGCCGAGTGGCCCGAGAAGCTCTACGCGTGTGTGACAAGCTATGATTGCTTCCGAGGTGTACCTTGACCATGGCGCCAGTCTGGATGTCAAAGAGGCGCACTGACTGATCGTAGCCGCCCGTCACCAAGTGGGTCTCGTTCGGGTGGATGTTGACCTACCCGCGACTCGCCCTACGCGCTACGGCAAGAGAGTTTGTACCGTGTACACGTCGCCAACGTGGCCCGTGAGCGTCGAGACGCAGTCCGAGTGCGACGCCAGCAGCGCCGACGGCTCCGTCTCGCTCGCGAGGTTGGCCGTCGCGTTCTTGAGACTCCAAATCTTGACCGTGCCATCGCCCGAGGCCGAGTAGAGCGTGTCGCCGGCGTTGTTGCCGCAGAGGTACCAGATGCGCGATGAGTGTCCGTGGAGGTCCCACGACACCTGTCCATTCTAAAACGAGGTCGTCGGACGGTCCAATGCATACCTTGTTGATTGTCGGGTCCTCGGTCGTCGACGGCTCGGTGGACCAGAGCTTGATGACGTTGTCGCTCGCCCCCGATGCGATAAAAGCACCTTCGCGCCCAACAAACGTGACGCACTGCGCATTACTTTCTCATGAGCTTTGATGAAGCCTTGGGAGCGATGTACCTTGACGTTCTGCGTGTGGCCTTCGAACGTCGTCTTGACCGCGTTCGGAAGTACTTGGCACTCAAAGTCACGCAGCAGCGTCGAGACCTTTGGGATCGTTTTCGGGTGGTACCGGCTGAACTCCATTTGGTACGCGACGCTTTGGCGCAAGAGGTGCACGAGGCGGTGCTCCGGAATGTTGGCATATTGGTCGGACGGCACGGCGTCCATCTCGAACGTGGCTTTGAGCTGCTCCGCGAGCTTCTCGCGCGACTTGACAACGCCTTCCCAGTCACGGAACGAGTCGACTTCATTGATCGACTTGCACGTCAATAGGTAGCAGAGGTCTTTGAACTCGACCTTGCCACTGATCTTCTCCATGGGCTTGAGGTGCGTCGTCAGGTACGTGAACGCCTTCTGGTACTCTTGCCGGTCGATGAGCTCGAGGTACTCTTGCTTGCAGACGGCGTAGAGGAAGCCGAGACCCTGCTGCGAGTGGATTTTGATCTTGCGGAAGCTCGCGTTCTTGTGGATCATTTTCGCCACGAGGTCCCAGTCGCCGTCCTTGATGCCCTTGCTGATCTTGCGGATCGCATCGCGCTCTTGGTTGCGCTCGAGGAGCTTGACATTGGTCTCGTCGAGAATCGTCGCCGACGCGCTCGTGTAGCCTTCGCTCTGGAGGTACTGCACGATGAGCCGCAGGATGTCGTCCTTGATCTCGGGCGATTCGGCGTCGAAGGTTGACTCGGGCGGGATCGACGTCACGTGCTTGTCCACGAGCTTGAACGTCGCCTCCGCGTCGGCCATGCTGCGTCCTCCTCAAAACACCAATATGAATAAAATTCCGCCACCTGGCAGACGCCACGGCCATTGGCCAAAACGGCAATAAAATTGGACCAATCCTGGCGCTAGATTGCGTATCCAATCTGACCATCGACACAGCGTGTGGAGTCTAGTCCGTGTGAGTTACATAGCTTCTCGTTTTTAGGTCGGTTTGATCCATGTATATAGCCCGTTGTTTTATAACTCGATGCAAAAGAACATGTTGAACGTTCCTCTTAGGATTGCATAAAGAGCTTGCGAAAGTCGGCGTTGGACTTGGCTTTGGTCGGCGCATCTTGCTTTGGAGCAGACGCGGCTAACGCCATCTCGGTCTGAGCAGGTGCCGAGACTGCCGTTGGCCGCGGCTTGAGGTTGGCCGGCGCGGGCGGGCCGCGAAGGGCACGGGGAACAAGACTTGAACGGGGCATCGCGATTCTGTGCGTAGAAAGTAGATGAAAATGAGCTGCTTGACCGCCTTCGTACCGTGTTGCAGGCTTGGTGGATGCCACGTCGTCGGACTTTGCAGTCGCTGGCTTGGGCATCGCCTTGGACTTTTGAGCCTTGGGCTTGGGAGTCTTGGTTGGCGCTGGCTTCATGTTGGCTTTCGACTTGGCTTGCTGGGCGACCATATCGGCGACGCTGAAGCGGGCCTTCTTGAGCGAAACGGTGCCGTCACAGAGCACGTGCGGACCTTCCGCAACAAGCGCGTCCAAAACGCTTTGCTACGTCACCAATACTGATTCGCAAGACGACTGGAGAGACACGCACCTCGGCTTCGTACTCGACAAGCGCGTACGCCGCCTTTTCCTTCTTGCGACCAAGAATCATGACGGACCGGATCGCACCAAACTGTAAACATATGAGCCACGATAGACCATGAGAATGTACAAACTTTTGCAAAGTAGGCTCGGACGTGGGCCTCGTCAACCTGGTCGTTGATCTTGGCAACGTACAGCGTCGTAGGATTCGTACTCCAGACCCCATCCCGCTCGACGACCCTACAAGTTCCATTGCCATGAGCTCCGTTGCTGCATCGAAGACAAAGCGAAGACGACTTGGTGGGCTTTGCCGTCGGCTTGGACGGCTGAATGTTGAGCGGCGTCCCTTGGAAACTCGACTCGTTCAGCGCGAGAGCTTTCGGCACGCTTTCCTACATCAAGATGACACAAGGTGCCAGGATTTGAACGCAAAGACACTGGTACCGGCGACTCGAACTCGACGTAGGCCATGCCGCGCGACGCTTGGCTTTCGCGGTTCCGCAGCAAAAGACGAACATCGGTCACCGAACCGCACTACGCAAAAGGGCATGAGACAGTGTTGCGTGGTGCGACTGGCAAACACCGGTGCAAACAGGGCTTTCAGGTCTTCGCTTGTTGTCGCCTTGTCCAAGTTGCAGAGAAACACAGTGCGGCCGTCGGCATCCGATGTGCGCTGACGTTTGTACTCGTCTTGGCGCTGCGTCTCAGCTTCGACGAGCTTGCGCTTCTTGGACGCGTCCTTCTCGACAGCCTCGATCGCTACTGGAGCGGGTGCTTCGTGGACGACTGCCGCCTGCTTGGCTTGCGTCTTGACGCAGAGCTTTTGGGCGGCGACGACGTCTTGGACCGAGTCACCCATCTCACGCTCAAAGAGCACGTACGTCTCTGCAAGAGCGCCAGGGTAGTCGGCGACTGCTGCAACCCCGCGCTTGTAGTACTTGCGCACGACGTCGAGCGGTGCGCCAGCGCGAAGACACTCGGCAATGCACGCTTGCCACGTCACGAGCGTCACGTCATTCGCTAAAATCGTGTCCCACGCCGCCGCCACGTGCTTGGTCCAGGCCGACGGTGTCGGCGGAGGCACCAAACACTTTGCTGCGTACATGCGCAGCATGGAAGCACCCGCAGGGTACTCGGTGAGGAGCCCCTACAGTGCATCGCTCGTTTCATTGTTATCGATAAAAGGTCGTACCTGGCAGCGTGCAAAGGCGGCAGCGAGGTCTCGCTTGGACCCTGTCCGGCGACGCGTGTCGCAGTAGGCGAGCAGCACGACGAGAAGTTGGTCCAGTGACAGCGCTTGGCGGCCCTCGAGCTCGTCGAGGACGACTTCATATGCGTCAAAGCCGCCGTTGCACTCGAGTGCGAGCAGCAGCGACGTCCATGCCGACGCAGCGAATGGCACGTTGCGCACGGCGCGCATGGCCACTTGCACCATGGCGCCGTACATGCGCTGGTCGGACAGAAAGTTGAGATATGCCTCCCAGAGAACACTGCTGAGGCACACGCTCGCGACCGCCCGCTCAAAGACGTTGAGGAGGATGCTGCAGCCGACAATCTTGAGCTTGGACGCAAGGTGCATTGTGTACTGCAGCCAGACGCTCTGAAGAGTCGCAACGTCCGGCGCATGGTCGAGCTGCGACTCGAACGCGGCCATGGCCGTGAGCAAGCCCTTGGAGCGTGCCAGCGTCGAGGAGATCGAGTGCAAGCTCTTCTGGAGCGCATCCGCGTTGTGGGACTCGTACTCGCTCCACGCGCGGTACTCGGAAAGCACGCGATCGCTTCCTTCAAAGAGAGGAATCGCCAGCTGACTTTCGTAGCTGGACTTGAGGCGGTCAGAGAGCGTGGTACCGTCTGTGATCGTATCCCGGAGGTGCGACCGATAGAGACCGTACACCTTTTCGCTCTCTCGCCAGTGCGAGCCCAATGCCGTGAGCACCGTGCTCCATGCCTCGTCAATGTCATCTGCAACGTCGTCGTCCAACGCGTCGACGTACATGTAGTACAGCGCCGGTTGGAGATAGTCCTTGAGCGCAACGGGAAGTTGCTCGGGCGCCAAGGCGAGGTACTGATGCCACAGCTCTAGCGTCAGAGGGTAGGCTTCGTGAAACCGGCCGAACTGCGTCTGGAGCTGTGACGCCAGCATTGGATCACCCGAGAGCGCGGCAATGGCCTGCAAGTGGAGGTCGTAGTTGTATGGGCTAGCCGAGCTCGCAACGACAAGGTCGAGCGCCTTTTGCTGGTCTTCCGTCATCTCGGCTTCATACACCAAGTCCTCGTCGCCGGAGCTCTCGCTGCTCGAGCCACCGTCCTCTGGGTCGTGCTCGCTGCGCATGCTGCCACACCCTTCTGGTTCTGGTTGATATCCAAAGATAGAGGACCAAGAGGTATTAAAAAATATAGAGTATACAATTATACAGGTACACGACCTTCCGAAATGAATGCAGGCGAGATGCTTTCAGCTGTGGCTATCCAACTACTAGCGCAAGCACCCTTACTGGCATTTCCGACAAGTTCAATTTGACGTATTTTTGACTTGATTTACTCCCGCATTTTACAACTTGTGTCAAATACTAGGATAAACGCAGGGCGTTTAGGGTAGGGTTAGGGTAGATTCTCTGTGCCTGAGATTGGTCTTGACATGTCAGAGACTGGACTGCGATTAGTACATGTATGTACTACATTGTCTCGTTGAATTATTCTTATTCGATAGCAGCGGTTTGGGAGCGCTTGGCGCGCGAAGTGACTTGACCACAGTCAGACTTGCGCTTTCTGTGGGAGCGCTCGAGGGAATTGCTGCCGCGTAGTGCGCAGAACGCCAAGACCACGGACGGTCTCGTGTCTTGCCTTGCCACCTCTTCATCGATCTCGTCGTCGTCGTCGTCTTCTTCGTCGTCGTGCTGGTACCATCCCGTGCTCACGTAGTCGACCTCCTCATTTTCCGTCTCGACTAGATCGCGGCCGCTTTGAATCGCCTCGACCGCCCGATCCACGCCACATCGCCGCAAAAGCTATAAAACACCACTGATGCAGTCGTTGTTGTCCCAGAAGCTGGCTTGAAGGAGGTGGTAGATGGAGCAGCACGACATCCCCGACGGGTGACGAAGCCATGTCAGTGCAAACGCTTGCATCCGGTGCGGTGCAAACCGGGCGTAGAAAGCGAAGGCGTCAATGGCTGGAGCTCTCTTCACATCGTCTTTGTAGCGGTATTCGAGCTGCTTTGTGATGCGCTTGGTCCATGGCATCGCGAACGTCGCTTGGACGGCGTCGGCCATGGCGTCAAGCATATGCGGTGACATCGTCGTCGTCGATGCAAACTCAGTGAGCGCTGGGACCACAAGAACGGACGCCCGGGAAGCACACATTGCAAGCACCTC